AAATCTTATTAAAAAATATTTCCTACGACCCTAACAGAAAGTTTTTTCACCCTAATCTTAGAAAGGAAAATGGCCAATTACCCCTCAGAGAAGTAAAAATTTTTCAAGAATAAAATTTCTTAATTTTTTTTTAATTGCAACCCATTATAAAACCTTTTTTCACAAAGGCTACATTCTAAGGATTACAACTATCTGCATTTTAATYAATTTTTATCGAAAAGAATTTTCAGATGATTAAAAAACACTTGAACTATTTTAAGATCTGAATTCTTTTCAGCTTGGGATTTCAAGAATTGACATGCAATTAAGAAAACTATAATAATTTTTATCTTACAGGTTGAGTTTTTGAGCTACCTTAGACCATTGTTTTAGGTGATAGAAATCAAATATTATTCACAAGTGAGATAAAGTACTCACAAGTGAGTAAATTTGACTATTATATTATATTTACTATTATATTTTTATAGGTGAATATTTTACTTGAATGAAACTTCATTTTTTGGATAATTGCACCTGTAAGATAAAACGTATCACACGTGATCGAAATGCCATTATGAAACTCGTGCATGAGAAGTGTCAAAATTCTCACTCGCGTATAATGATGCATTTCTATCACTTATAATATAATGTACTATTATAAGTTTTATTCAATTTTTAAGGTTAAAATTGCATTTTTGCCATTTTAATTTTTTGACGACAAAGAATTAAATTCATGTAGTTGTAAAAACGRTGACGATTGAATAAAATTGTATGTTATATATGATAAAATTGCTGAAATTTGTAAATTCAGTATTTTTTAAACTTCTAAAACCTATGTATTATCATAATAATCAAAAATTCTAATCTCTATTTCTCGTAATTTCTATATTAAATATCAAGAGAAATGGTTAGTTTTTCAGTTTTTCTTGCTGGGTCGTAGAAAAATTAATTGTACTACCTTGATGATTAATAACTTCTACCTATGGGAGGAAATAATACACTTTCTTCCCTTGTAGTACTATGGTCAGTAGTAAATTTTGGTTGTCCAACACCAAATTTTTTAGAAAATAACAAAATGCTTGTCTTCGTTTSAACTTTTCTGCTTCTTGCTGAGCTCTTTTGTCTCTCCCTTAGAACTGTGGGAATGCACGGTGTGATAAAAAGCACCCACGACAAGGARGTTCGTTTCGGGTCACAGCAATACAAAAAGCAGTCGTGTTACATCCTCCAGGACGACCAATTGGCGCCCCTTTTCACCGTCGCCGAGATAATGAACATGGCTGCAGACTTAAAACTAGGACACGGCATATCGTCGAAAAGAAAATACATGCTGGTGAGTGTTCAATTTCTCGTTTACGTAACTTGAATCGGAACAACTTTACCTTGCACTTGATACTATCAAGGGTATATACTTAGTTTGTTTTTGCGTTTTTCCTTGTTAGATCGATGACATTTTGGATACTTTGGGTCTTTCCGCGGCGAAGGACACGCGTTGTCAACGACTATCCGGTGGCCAGAAAAAACGTCTCTCGATCGCTCTTGAACTTATCGACAATCCACCTATTATGTTCTTGGACGAACCCACAACGTGAGTGTTATTTTGTTTATTTTAATGATCAATGACCGGTAAGGTCGTTGWGAAAAACGATCAACCTTTATGACAAACAATTGAAAAAGTTACGTAAATCAACCGGTCCAAACACTTCCTATTCAGACTCAGATGCAAGGGAAAGTGCCCAGATCTGTGTTATTTCGATTCCTTCTAGACTATTCTTCGGGAACTACTATTAGATAACAGACACGACCTGAAAACACATTTCTGTGCAATTTTACACGACCGTTACCGAAATAGACCCAGATACGAGAGTGAAAATTGCTTATGTAAACATTTCTCATTTCTTCCTTTTCCCTGATTTTGACAAGATTTTTGACTCTTTTTTTTAATACCACTTTCACTCAATTTTTCTATTTTTTTCGCAGCGGTTTGGACAGTTCCTCTTCAGCACAATGCATAAGCATGTTGAAAGAATTAGCAAGAGGCGGAAGAACCATTATTTGCACGATTCATCAACCGAGTGCCACTTTATACGAAATGTTTGATCACGTCTACATCATGGCCGAAGGCAAGTGCATCTATCAAGGGGCCAGTCGAAACACGGTCACCTATTTGTCCTCCATTGGCTTTAACTGCCCCCAGTATCACAACCCCGCAGACTACCGTAAGTACTTTTTCACATAATTTATACAGGATGTCCGAAAAAAATGGTCAAATATTGCGTGGGATAATTCCTTGGGTCAAAATAAGAAAAAAAAGTTTCTATGGACCTATAATCGGAAATGCTTCCTAAAGGAGCCAAAACTCGAGATTTTCTAAAAGCAATCACGTGTTCATACGATTTAGTACAATCCTCAGTAAAATCTCGTTTTTTCTAGAAAACGAAGCGTCGCACAGAAATAATACAAAAGACATTTTTTAAAGTAAATTAGTCAATAAATCCGGATCTGCTAGAAAAAAAAGACACAATTACTGGTAACGCCAGTAGACTCTACACAAAAAATTACCCCAAATGCAAATTTTTATAAATCCATCTCAATTGTTTACTGAAATAATTAAAATGCACCTTTTGGTTGTCATCTTTTGGGGGTTGTAGTTTCCTTAGGAAGCATTTTGGGTTCATAGGAACTTTTTTTCTATTTTAACCCAAGAAATTACCCCCCAAACATCACAAAACATGGAGTAAAAATTCTATTTTTGCGCCTAAGCATTTTTACTTTTACCAGGACATTACTGACATGTTTCTTTGCTTCAGTAATTTCAGGACAGTGTGGATCATCAGCATTCAGAATTTTACACTACTAACTGTGTCAGTCAAGCATTAGTTAAATTACTAAACACTTTAGAAAATCTCAACACAAATTCCGTGATATTTATTTAAGTACAAGCGTTGTTATGATTTTATTACTTGTAAAGCGACCTGATTATCTTGCTCATTTACTTGCCAATTATAGTGTTGCTCTTTACACTCGATCTGAATGCGTTTGCGGTTAAAATAGTATACATATACAGTAAGTCCCCGCATTGAGTTTAAAAGAGGAAAAAAAAAATTTACCTTTGATTTTACACCAAAACTGCAAAGGAAAAACATTTATTTGCTTTACCTGAAACGAGCAAATTGTAATTAAAACTTCACTATTCTAACTCAGTAGAAAGAAATATTCATTTTTCTCTTGCTTTTTAAATGCTATCATATTGGCGGTTTAATTTTTCTGACAATGACGTCACTTTGTCCAAAAGTCCAAAATCAAGCGAAAAAGTAACTTTTCTTTTCACTGAATCAGAATAATGAAGTTTTAATTACGGATTTGCTCGTTTAGGTGAAGCAAAAATGTTTCCTCTTGTAAACTAAATCCGGAAACATCCTGTATGTTATTCGAAGTAAAAGTAAGTTTATGTGGCTTAACTTAAATAAACGATCAGCTTCGCCACATAAACTAAGTATTACTTTTACTTCTACCTATACTATAAAGGCTTTTTCTGAACAAACTGTATTTCAAGAAAAAAATGTATTTCGATAATTTCATTTTTAAAAAAACATTTTATACGCTTCATTACATAACAGGGAGTTGCTCTCTCTCTCAGAAGTTTACGAAAGATGCAAATGTTGGGTCACCGGAAAATTTTTCTCCATGCTATTACATTTTTTTCCGAGCACCGGTTCACAACAAGTTTCGTTTTTTTTTGTTCAAGTCTGCAGGACAGGAAATTCCGTCCAAATAAATTTTGACGTGTTTTTGAAATAATCTCTTAGACTGACGTCATTTCCTAAAGAAAATTCAATATTTGCTTGTTTACGATGAGCAAATTAGCAAATACCGGAATAAGTCAATGCTACTACTACATTATTTTTAAAAATACAGACACAGCTGAAGTCTGTTTTTATCTCACCTTACCGATTCACTTATCAAAATTAAACATAATCAATGACCTTACATGCGTGCATTACTAGAATTACGTCTTTGTATAATCTCGACCTTTCAGCTACCAAAAAAATTAAACCAGTTGCTGAAATAGTGCAAAAAATGTCCTTCTAATACAAAAATCTAACTAACAAATAACAATTACAAACACAAGTGAAACACGAAATGTTAAATGAATAAAAAATTAAATGTCCTAATCTAAGACTCTTTCGCAGTTCTGGAAGTTGCCAACGGCGAATATGGTAATTTTACAGATTTTTTGGCGAAAGCAGCGTCCGAAAACCAGTGGAGAACAGCAGTGACCTCGGACAAACGTAAATTTTTGTTTACTCAAACTAACAATAATAAACAACCCATTTTTTTAGTGGAAAACAAAATAAACGAAAAGTCGGAGCACACAGTCCAAAATTCGGCAACTTATCAGCACACACAACCCTCTGAATTTTTTAAATTTTATATTCTAGTCAAACGATCGTATTTGCAATTGTACAGGGACTGGGTTAGTCTCAAACAACTTTCATTAAACTTGTGACTGACTAAATTTTTCAGACGATTTCTCATCTCAAAATCGTGCTACATTTTCTTGTAGGAATCGTCCTAGGCTTGAATTACTACCAATCGGGGAACGACGGGTCGAAGACAATCAGTAATGTAGGTTTTTTCATCGTAACTTCGGTTTATTTAACGTACACATCTCTAATGCCCGCAGTACTCAAATGTAAGTTAAAAAAAAACAACTGTCTTTTCTAAAATAATTCCTATTCTAGTTCCATCCGAAGTGGCAGTATTAAAAAAAGAACGTTTCAATAATTGGTACAAACTCAAAACCTATTACGCCGCTTTTTTAATGTCAGACATTCCGATGCAAATTATTTTTTGCATGTCGTACATTTCTACAGCGTACTTCTTGAGCGACCAACCCTCGGAAAGTTTCCGATTTTTCATGGTGGTCGCTATTTTAATTCTACTATCGTTAACAGCGTCCAGTCTTGGACTAGTCATCGGGACTTTGGTAAACCCAATTGTAAGTCACTACAATTTGTATTATTTTGTGTTATTAATTGCTTAATTTATTTTTTTCAGAACGGTACATTTTTCGGGGCTATCATAACCGCTGTTATGTTGTGTTTCGCCGGCTTTTTGATTTTATTCACGCACATGTCGAAGCCCATGTACATGATGACTTACGTGTCGTTCTTGGCCTATTCGTACGAAGGTTTGGTTCAAGCCGTTTATGGTTTTAACCGCCCTTTAATTCCATGTCCTGAGGACGTGGAGTATTGTCATTTGAAAGTGCCTGAACTCATTTTGCGGGAGTTGGGCATGGAAAGTAACACTTACTGGACCGATGTTGCTTTTCTTTTTGGAAATTTCTTACTATTGAGGACGGTCGCGTTTTGTACTTTGAAACGGCGATTAAGGACCGGTTAAGATATTTTTGTGATTATTTTACTAACATTAGGTGATTTTATAAGAGATTATTTATATGACGTTAGATTTAAGATGGATTAAGTAGTTTTGTAAATATGCAAGTGTGGTGTAAGATACAATACTTGTTTTTGTATTATACAAAGATTCTATTTAATAAAAAATTACGTTTTTTGGCATTTACATAATTATACCCTTAAGCTGATGTAATTGCTGAAAAAACAACACTCACCTTGGATTCCGGGGCGAAGGAAGGGGCCGAATAATCAACCAATGAAATCTACAATAACAAGAGTTTTAATCAATTTCTTAACCACAACCTCAACAATTACTTGTCTTGTTGATAAACACTTTGAAACAGAGACATACAAAAAAAAATTGATAACAATTAATTCACAATTCTTTCCATAACCAATTTAAAACCTTTCTTATCGATAAATTAGGCAACTACATTACCGGCACTTTGAGGTTACCTAATTTGGTATTTTTAATCAAGCCTCAATTTAATTAATAGAAACTATCACATTTTCATACAATCATCACAAAAACACATTTTTTACTGCCTTGCTGATAATAATTTATATTTTTTTCCACAATAATTTTTTAAAACCAATTTTAAAACTTTTTATCGGTAAATTACGCAACTACATTATCGGCGCTTTAAATTTACTTAATTTGATTTTCATTTTTATTCAAATCTTAAATTATTAATTAATACCTACAAACTGTCACATTTTCACGTAATAACAACAAAAAAACACATCTTTTACTGCCTTGCTTATAATAATTTAAATTTTTTTCCACAATAATCCTTTCAAAATTTCAAATGAATTGTAAAATCGAACTTAAATCGTCTTTATTGCTCAGTTTTTGGTCTTTGTCGGTTGAATAAAAGTTGCAATAATAATTATATTGTTCTTGATCGTATTTTAAAATAGATTACTATACCAAAGAATGTTATAGCAGTACTAATATTATAGCAATAAATTAGATCTAGCACGTGATATTTTTTTATTTTTTTCTGATTGTATTTTTTGTTTTTTTTAATTAAAAAATAAAAGCTTAAATAATAGTTATTTATTGTAAGAGTGTGTTAGGTAGCGTGTTATCCATGCAAGAATGTTTAACGTCAGTTCGAGCGATTAATTTTCTTAAGTGGACGCGACTAACACACGACTGCAATATAACGTTTTATCGATAATCACAGGCCCAAATTAATTAAAAATTAAACTGACATTTAAACGTCACGCCAAATGTGCTTTCGGTTAAACGTAGTAAGCTGGTTACTAACAGTGAATAAAGTTACTTTATTCCACTAGTGGATAAAGTGGTACTTGATACACATCTAAAGTGTGGAATAAAGTCTCTTTATAGAGTGATTGTGGATAAAAAAGTTTTTTTGGAAGTTGTAAATACATTTTGGAGACGTCTGGAATTGGCATGTTGGCGACCCTACTTCTAATATCTCATATATGTTGGCGACATTGATTACCGAAATTGAGGTTATGTAATCCCGAATTTGTTTGTTTGATTATTAAATTAATATAAAAATGGCAACAATTCGGGCACATTTACAAGGAATTATCACAAAAGTCCGTTTATTGCATCCTCAATCATGCAACGTGAGTCCAAATTGTGTTTTTTTAGCACACTAACCTTACATTTTAGATGGCCCAAATCCGGAATTCCAGCTTCAACTCGAGTAAATTTCTTGTGGACGTCGATGTTACCACAAAATATGAAACAACAAAGAGTCCTGAAGACTGGAAATACGTCGAGAGAATCCTCCCAGTTGCTACAGTCCCAGAACCGAAGAAATTGCCAGTGTATGCGTCAGGCTGGAAGCCCCAAGCCGACGACCTCACAGACCGCCCCTACTTTGTCGCGAGGACTCGCAACCACATGATGCCGGTTTACCTAGATATCCGTCAAAGGGGGACTGCAAGACACACAATTATTAAAAAAATTCAGGGCGATATTTGGCAACTAGAGAAGGAACTACGCCCCTTTCTGGAGGACTTAGTCAAGCCGAAAAACCTACGACTGCAAGTCAACGAGTTTGCGGGTAAAATTAGTATAAACGGCGATCACGTGAACGCAATAAAATACTGGCTAGGTGAACGAAATTTATAATTAAATAAATTGAATACATTGTTGCTTAATTTGGTGCCCAAAAAATTACATTAAGTACAACCATCGGTGAAACTCGTCGATGACGACACGTCCTGGCACTTCGACTCGCTTAAGTCGTTCGCAAGGGCCATCAAAATGTCCAAAATCAGCTCTTTGCTTAACATGCGAAGTCGCGGTAGCTTCGCCACTTTGGTAAAGTGGTGAACGATCAAATCTAGGGCGTACTTCTTCATATCAGTAGCTTGCATCCCATCAGCCGCCTCCAAGATCTGTATCACGTTCTCAAACGAGACGTTCATTTCTAAATTCTGCTTGCAGAAGGCCTGGAGCCGGTTGTTGGTGAAACTGTAAAACAGGGGGGCTGAGAACAGGTACAGGGAGTCCTCGGGGGGCATGTTTACGTCCCCGCAGTATACGAAACGCAGGAGGGAGTGGAATGATTGCAGCGACGGAATCATTTCGCCGATTTGAATCTAAAAACAGGATAAAAATAATTAAATAGTGAACATTTGTTTTTATGCCGAACAAAGTCGTGTTGAATTTTACCTTGACTTTACAATCTGTCGGCATGAAGGACCTGAAAAGGGCTTCGAAATAGCCACTTCTGGCGGCCAGAATCGGTTTATGTGCCGGTATGGCGTTGCCATCTAAAACCAGATCAACGTCATAGAAGGGGGCCCCGTGTGCCTTTAAAAACATAGCCATATCTTGCTCCAAAGTGGTCCCCGCTAACTCCCCCTGACTCTCACTTACACTCTTACTATTACTCGCCGTTTGTTTCAATCTTATTATCTCTATGATAAGTTTACTACTCAACGATTCGAATTTTGTGGACATCACAATATCGTTATAATTCGATTCTTTGACGATGAAACGCAAACAGTGGTCTTTAATAACGTTCAATTTTAAATTGTGGGCTGTCTCTAGGGCTTCCAGAACGTTGGCCATGTTAATAGAGGAGTTTAAATATTGGACACACAAATTGTCCAAGCGGACCATTCCGAATTCCACTGCGAGTCGATAAACGTCCATCATTCGTAGAACTGTCTCAGTGGGTGCGCCCCCTTTTTTTGTGGGGTCAATGCAATCCATGTAGATGTAGTCAAGGACTAGTTCAAAGGCTTCGGGATTAGCATCTGGAAACTCAATTTCGACCAATGGAACCTCCTTAAAGGGGACATTAACAGTTCCGAATAATTTCTCCAAGTGGCTATCACGTTTTGCTTTATTTTTTTTCAAAATCTGGCGTAAATGAGCCGACCTTGCGGCCACTATGGCCATGTGCCCGAAAATTTTCTTCAAATCGGGCCCCACTAAAAACTGGACGTCGTAAAACTCATTCGTTGAGAGCAATTTTCCAAAGTCTTCATGAAGGGTACATTTGGGGTAACAAGAGAATTGGAAACGGTACATTTCCCCACTTCGCACATTATTATCAATTGTGCCCCCAAAGACAAACATGGCGTCGTCTACGACAGCTGCAGCGTGGAAAAGCCTCCCTGAAGGGACAAAAGACTCCGCTGCTGGTAAAATCGTTGACCAAGTTTGAGAGTCCAAATCGAAGCAATGGAGATCATTGGAAAGTGTACTGTCGGCAGCCCCCCCAAAAACGTACAAATGACGATCAAAAGCCACCATTGTGTGACCGTAGCGACGAGCAGGGGGCGCTGGAGCCCCCCGTAGAATATGGTCGGTGGTGATCCTCGTCCAGCTGCAACAATGTTATCACTTGGAGCCGCACCAACAAGGGGGTTATACGTATGTGTGTTGAAATTAAACTGGAAGAGGGAATTAGTGATTTGTGCCCCACTTTGGCCACTAAAAACGAACATGCGTTCCCGTGCTACGGTCACCGGGAAGTTGCAACAAGTCGGGGGGCACTCCCCCTGTTGCATGATTTTGACCCAACATCGACTATCCCCCTAAAACAAACCAGTGAACCCCCTGAAACCAGCCCGACGTGGTTTTACATTGAGCGAAATGGTCCACATGTCGTTCAACCGTGCGTTCCCGTCATACCCCGCGAAAATCCAAAGTTTGTTATCGTACACAGCAGCCCCATGTGCCGAGCGGGGCTCCGGCGTGACTCCCAAGAACCTCCACTCGACCCATTGCCCCGAATGAAACTTATACTCGAACAGATCATTCTTATTCGTGAGATTGGAATTGGAGTGAATGTCTCCGGTGTAGCCCCCAAATACAAACATCGAGTTTCTATAGACGACAGCCGAGTGGTGGTAGCGGGGGGCTGGGGGACACCCATTGGTAAACGCACGCCCCCATGATTTCTCCTTCACGTCAAACCGTAACAAGTCATTGAGCATGCTTTTGCCGTTGTCGCCCCCGAAGACGTAAATCGCCCCCTTGTACGCCACCATTGTGTGTTTGCTACGACGCGCCCCCACGAATTCATCGCATTCCGGCATACGTTTCCACCGATGGACCGTTTCCATCGGACCGATTTCGAGTGTGAGGGCATTGTCGTAGAGTGCGGCGTCGTCCAAAATGGTCAAACTGCTCATTTTTTGCACCTAGAAAATGTGAGGTTATGTCACTTTTTATCAACAAAAATGAACCAAAAGAAGTAAATTTTACCTAAACGACGCGATACTGACCTCAAAAAACAGTATTTGTTACATCATTGGTGCTTGAGTGAGGTTTTTACGCAAAAATTAGTTTTGCTGGGTTGAATGAAACGTCAAAACACCCACATAAACACAATACTTCCGCTCAGACTCAGTTAGAAGCTTCTTTTCATCGATTTATTACCAGTGAGGGTTTATTCAAACAAGTGGGGGTGTCACAACCAGAATAAACAATTTGGGGTTAGCTACAAAAATGACATTTGATTCATTTATCAGCCCCAACCCCAACAGTTATCAATTTCAAGTGTTTTCACATTTTCTATCACAAAAAGTAAGAAGGGATGCCAATCCATTTAAAAATCCCTAACCCGGGGAAACCCATTTCGGCATTTTAATTTTCATCAATAAAACCAACTAGCATAATTTGAGGTTAGTTTATCGGGGCTGTAAAAGTGACTGACTCATTTTAAGCTTCAATTAGCCCCAATAATCACCAATTTCATGTGTTTTTGCTTTTAACATTTTTTACCGCAAATTTGTAGTAGTGAAGATAAGGGGTGCCAACCCACACAGAAATCCCTAACTCGGTGAACCCCATTGCGACATTTTCAATAATAAAACCAAAAATACACACTTGTAATGAATTTATTTAATCAAAATGAACCATCATCAACAGCTTGGTAAATTTAATAATTGCCCTCCAGGTCGCTCGTCCTTTCTCATCTTGCTGTGTTCCAAAATCCGCGAGCGCACCCATTTCTGGGTGCTGAACCTCCTTAGACGCTCCCTGTTTTGCAGGAAAAAGTCGAGTGAGGTCCCCACAGTCCACACTTTGTACCTCACGGCGAGACTCGGCTGAATGTCGCACATTTGGACATGTTTGGCGTTGCGTTTAAGCGACACGATGACACCTTCTCGAACCAAAGGGTAAATAAGCTCGAGTTGGTGCAATTTCAAAAAATCCAAAACGTCGGTATCGAAAGAAATGAAAAACTCATTGATTACAAACGTCGCGAAACTGAGATCGTGGTTATAAGTGGGGCCACGAATCAGGGCTGGAAATTCGTTTTTTGAAACGGAATCGCTCATTTTTTGCCTCACCTATGAGTTTGTCGACGATTTTGAAAATGTATTTGTCGACAAAGTCTTCGGGGATCTGGTATACTTCGCGGTTTTCCATCCGGAGGCGCCAAATGGGGCGAGGGTTCACGCTCACAATCGGATAACCGGACTTGTCACTAGACATGGTGGAACCACACTGAGTTTTATTTTGTGTGATTAGGCAGGAAAAAACTGAAGTTTTTGCAAGCAAAAAAACAATGTTTATCTTACAAGTTGATCTTTATTTAAACCGTCACAATTCGGCCAAATTAATTGTTTTAAAAAGTCTATCCGATCTTCAGCGTAATATAACTCAATCCAGTCACTCGACCTCACGAAAATCACTTTGTACCCCAGAATTTCCAAATGGCGCTTCTTCATTTGGAAGGGTCCTTTCAGGCGAGTCACAATTTTCGTGTATGCGAATTCTGGGAGCAACAATAAAGCCAGCCTGGAAATAGTATATTAAAATACGAGTCACAAAGACCTCAACAATTCTTTTACACCATTTTTTTCCATTTTGCGCTGTTTTAAAGAAACAAAGACTTTTTAATTTAGGGAATTTTACGTCAGTTGGAAACATACATGTTTGAAAAATCTGGTAAACTAGTTTTTAATGTTGTATTAATGCAATACACTGCCGGACACGGAATTTTGGACAATTTGTCATCCAAAAACGTGCTTTAACGCTCGAAAAAAGCAAATAAACATTATTTTTGGTCTAATTCTGTAATTTTTTACTTGAAATACATGCTAAAAAACTTGAAAAAAGCAAAAATAATAACTTGATTTGATGTTTTCTGGTTTGTTTTAGCAAAATCTCGCAAAAACAGAGCATTTAGTTCAAAAACAAGCTTACAAAGACTTGAAAAAGGTAAAGCCATACTATGTTTTTCGGCTTATTTTATGACAAATTTTACTCAAAAACGAGCTAAATCTAATAAAACAAACGAAATAAAATCAATTTAGATTTGTTTTTGTTAATTTTGCAAAAATAACACTATTTTGGAAAATTCTCGATGTGCTTTTTAAAGAAATTTTACAAAATAGCTCTGTTTTTAGCTCAAAAACGGACTAAAACGCTCCGAAAACGCCAAAATAATATACTTTTCGACCCAATTTAACGATTTTTTAATCCTGTCGAGTAAAATTATCTCAAAAAAACCTACATTCTAAAAACAAATCGGGGGTTTTTACAACATATTTTTCAGAAAAAAATGGCAAAATAATTGAGTTTTTGGGCAAAAAATGTATAAAATGCTCAAAAAATGCCAAAAAATAGTGGCATTCATAATTTTTGTCTTCATTCACTATATCATAGTAATTAAAAAATCGAATTTTGTTCTCAATGTATGGCGCCTGCGCGAATGTTATATATTATTGGTTCTTATTTTTATACTATTGAGTATTTATTATTATTGGAGGGTGGTGTATGTATTAGCAAGGGCCCCTGCGCAAGAATGATTTTAGCAAAGGTTTTAACCTGTGCACAAATGGTAATCAGTCTAATCCAGCGTACGCCACTCTTTGCACTGCTGTTTTTGAACGCTTTGGGACATTCGGATTTAGCTCGGAAACATTTTGTTTGTAAATGTGTGAATATTAATTAATTAGTTTTGTAGACATTCATTCTTTGTCTTTACTGTGCATTTATTATTTTTACTGTGCATTTAATTTGTTCCTTATAAAAATTTCCCTAGACTTGGCAACACTGTTTTCAATTGACATTCTGCTTTTCTTGCTCAGTCATGTCGCTTAATACCCTGGTTATTTTTCTATCACGAAAGTGAGGAAATACCAACCTGAAAAGCATAAGGGCGCAAAATAGAAAAAAATAATTCTAAAAAAATGACTGGTCACCTTTTTACAGCTTGAGACTCGTCGACAAGCTCCTCTCGCGAGTTTAAATTGACCACAAAATCGACCTTGTAGCCATAAGCCGTGACAACATTTTCGGCGAGGGCCGAAGTTGGGACAATTTTCCTCAAATATTCCCTGACTTTATTGGAAAAAAGTGAATTTTTCGTCGAGTGGACATTTTCATTAACGTATTTTTGGTGGAACCACGGGACGTTGCTCTCGGGGTAATCCAAACAGACCGCACGATTGAGTTCCATTAAATTGTAACGAACTCTTTGGGGATATTTATCCTTGGAGTAGCACTTTTCCAGCTCACTGTCAAGTTTATCCATAAATTCCTCGTTGAAAATTGATTTTATCAACGAATTTGGGAGTTTGTTGAAGAAGCACAACGCTACAGCGGTGTAAATCAGCGACAGACCCGTCATCCGTTCTTGATCTCTTCGAAAAAAAAATTATTTTCAATTGGGGGAATCACAATTCTCACCTAATTATGATATTGGTGGCTTTTTCAAAAAACTCGCTCGATTTTTTCGGCTGATAACCCAGACTGTAGCACAAATACATCACTCTTGAGACATTAAACCCCAAAACGTGGTTTTTGTAAGTAACAATATACTCAGTCATGTTATCGATGACTTCCGGTATTAGAGAATTAGTCATAAGGAAACAAAAGTAAATGTTTTCGATGTTTTTCGACGAAATGTGACCAAAACACTTAAAATTGTTCAATAATTTATTCGTGACAAGTGCATCAGCTCGGCTTTTATAAATACAAGCTTTCAGTAGTGCGTTGGTTTTCCACAAATCATCAGCGCTGTTTTCCCCCAATTTATTAATCAATTCATCAAGGACCCGATTAATCCTCTTTACGAAAGGCAATTTTTTGTACTTGTTTTCCATCCCACTGAAAATTTTCACCGTGAAAGCGAGTCTTAAACAATCAATGTATCGCAGTTGCCCCCAACTCGCCTCCAACTTCGCCACCAAATGCTGAAGCAAGTTGTGGTCCTCCCCGTACAGTAACACGAAACTCAGAAAATTCGACAATTTTTGCGGAAAAAAATCGTAATTCGCCTCTTTGACCAAACCACTCATCAAGCTCAAAACTTCAGCTTCGAATTTGGGGTGTCTGTAATTCCCCGTATCGTTACTGAAATTAATGTAATTCTGCGTCAGTTTTATCACGTCCAGATTTTGCGTTTTCACAAATTTCAGGACTTTGTCCCAAAACAGATTGCAAAGTTTTTCGTCGGTGACTTTCACGTGGGACAACAATTTCCGAAGAATCATCAAATTGTCGTAGTCGTTGCATTCTTGCACGTATTTTTTCAGGATTTTTTGAAAGTCGCTTCGTAAATTTGGGGACGCGAAATAGATTATTATCGAGAAAAGGGTCAGTTTTTGTGCGGTTGGGGTTTCGTCCAATTGGTGGAAAAACTTTGACGAGCAACGTTGCAAACTACTGAGGATTTCGCCCGGTTCTTGGATTTTGAAAAATGTCTAAAATTGTAAAATGATTTTTTTTTAATTCATGTCGTTACTCACCTCATATAACATTATTATTTCGTTCATGTTCAAGTCGCTTAAATTGTTTTTTATCAATAGAACACACTTGGAGATTAAAACTGAGTTCTTTTCCCGCCATTTGGGGTAATTTAAAAACGCGATTATTTGCAAAACCACTTTGTAATTTGACGATGTTAAAAAACCGTTTTGAATAAAAATCTCGACTTTTTCTTTGTACTTATCTAACGTTTCGTCAGTTACGACTCTGTACAGTTTATTGAGACTTACAGTAAGGTCATGTAGGGCGAGTGGAGACTCACAACGATCTGCAATCAGTTCTTTTTTATATAAAAAAAAATAGACAACAAAACTCCTCACCAATCTCATTAATGACTAACGGAATAAGTTCTTGCGACATAAAATATGACCTTAAATTAACTTCCTCAAAAATCGTCTCTAAGTATCTTGAAGTTGGTGATATTTTAAATTCATTCACTAATTTTTTCCTAATTATTTCATTCAATAACTGGACCGGTTTTGTCCCAATATCCAGCCCCAACTTTGTCAAATAAAGTAGACAAAAACTCAATGTATTGCTATCGAAATCGTGAATTTTCCCTTCAGCGATTTGGAGTAACTTTTGGAAACTACTATTCACTAAAAGATTGTTCAAAAACTCGGCTTTTGCCTCGGTTAAACTTTTCCTATTAGCCACAGCGACGTCACAAAAAATCCGCATTAAATCATACAACACGAACACTGTCTGTGTAACATCCTCGCATCTGTAATAATGCGAATTGCGCTCCAACACATTAAATAATTCTTGAACTGAGACACAACTATAAATGCGATTGAGTAAAATATCTTTGGTATTTTTGTACAACAAATCCCGGGCGTAGCCTTCCTGTTTTAGTGTACTTATGTAGTCGTAGTCGAGATCTTCGTCTGTGGAACTGTCGTCCCGGTATGGCCTCATATTCAAGGGGGCACAAGTCGATAGTTGGCACTGAACTAAGCCACATTTCTGGTTTTTTATTTCAAAATAACGGAAAGGAGGCACTAGTGATCTTACACACACTGTACGTTTCGCATACATTAGAAATAAATGACTGAACCTCATATTTTACATGGTCAAAAGTGAGGTTATTTTCTGGGTTAGGAACCTTGACAGTTGACACGTGCGTGTGACTACATACGATTTGTCGCCTGACCGAAAAAAACAAAACGTTTTGTTAAATAAGTTTACTCACTTATGGGGGTTTTTGTGGTGATTTGAAACTTGAGCAAAGTGTTACTTTTTTTTTTAATTGACCTATTAACACCTATCCAGTTTCGGTTTTTTGTGTTTGCGGTCGCAGTCACATCGGTTTAAAAACTATCAATTTGAATTTAAAAATGCGAAATATTGAGATTAAGGCTAAAGTTAGGGAACTCGCGAGGCTAATCGAGAGAGCAAAAGCCTTAAGTGAGACTCCTGGTGAAATAATAAAACAACACGACACTTTTTATTCAGTTGTGAAAGGCCGGTTAAAGTTACGGAAATTTGAGGTTAGTTGTCTTTATTTTTTGCAATTTTAATTGATTTTTTAAGAGCGGAGATGCGCAATTGATATATTACGAAAGACCGGACGTCGAAGGACCAAAATTATCATCGTACGAGAAGACATTTATAAATTCTGAAGGGGTCCAAGACTTACATAAAGTGTTAGATAAGGCTTTGGGTTCAAATGGAATTGTGGAAAAAGTTAGATATTTGTTTATGGTGGGCCAAACTAGAGTTCATATTGATTCTGTGGAGAATTTGGGTGATTTTATGGAACTCGAAGTGGTTTTGAAGCCTGAACAGAGTCCTGGAGATGGGGAGAAAATTGCTTTGGAACTCATGGAGGATTTAGGGGTTGGGAAGGAAGACCTACTGTCGGGGGCATACACGGATTTGCTCAAACAAAAGGAGCTTCATTAGAAATATATGCCATGAATAATAAATAAATACTTACTAAAATCAATTGTATCAGTTTTTATTAAGATGTTTGAAAATTCAAAATTTAAAAGAAGTACAATATTCCATTTCTGAATATATGAAAAACACCATTTACATCAAATGAAACGCCTGGAAAGAGTTCATTAATAATTCCGTCTTGTTTTGGTTTTATAGTATTTACATTCATTCTATTCAAAATAATAATTATTAATATAAAAGTCGCTTTATTTTTATTGCTTCCTTTATTTCTAATATGTATTGTTGGTTGTCTATAAGAAGTAATTTTTTTAATTACTCTTTAAAGAAAAACAAGTTTCACTTTTGAGTATTTTTTATACAGAAATACTTAATTGTAGTGACCACTATTTTATCTTCTGTCAAAAACACCACGAACGTGTCTGATATACTTATTTTACCAACATGATAAGGGGGATTTCCCAAAGCAGCAAAATGCGCATCTAGTTCACTTAGTGACCCAGACATTTAAGGTGACGAAAAGTTAAGCTTCTATAATCCTGAGTGTCACAATTACGAAGGTCCTTTTTCTATAAAAAAATACACAAAATCAATATTTTTCCGTTTCTACAGAATTCGATTCATAAACAGTTTATCGATTTTGAGCGATAATCAGTGATCGTTATTCAATTATGAAAATTTAAAAAATTATACAGTTTATATACGTCACTCAGATAAAACGCGATAAGTTTCGTGTATATCATACACTCCTTATTATTTAGAAAAGCCAAAAGCACAGTTGATCATAATGTTTTTTGCATTCAGTGTGTGAACATGAATAATTATCCACCTCCTGATTTGTCCACAATGCTTGACGATTTGTTCTTACTTCAGGACATCAACGTAAGTCAAAGTTTAGATAATTTTTCCAAAGCCGGTTATCATCACACCTTTGTCGTGTTTATTTGTATTTACCTTTATTGGGATTCCCCTATTTTGACATTTTTACCAGCTGAGCAACTTTAGACAGTACCTATATTTAGTCAACATTACATTGAATAAATAGACGAATTAAAAAAAAAAAACAAATAGAAACAGTTATTGAATTCAAATTCAAAATTCATTAATAACAAATTTCTATGAGTATAAAGTTTATTGTACTTAATATTTGCATATTGTATTTCACAATTCTATTATTCTACTTTGTATCCTATTTTTTGCAGTGACAATTAAATTGTAATGATATGAAAACATAAAATCTTAAATCAATAATAAAGTTTCGAAACAGTCACCAAAGAAAAGTAGTATCAAATGCGGAAATACCATCTGATAGATTAGTATGGAAAATCCAAGCTGATGTTTGTTTTATTTGTAGTAGCCAAAAAATTAAATTATTTACGTAATTTGGTACTTTAGTTAGGAACAAAATAAGTTTACGATAATTCAAATTCTCAAATGTTAATAATTTCATTTTTTTTTAAATTTACTTTTTTCTATAATGACTTTTTGTGTTTTTTGTTGTAATTTAGAGAGTGCAATGGAAAGGTTTTCACATCATGAATTAATCAGAATTTTTTTACCTAAAAAATTAACTAAAAATGCAGTTTTTGTGTAGTTTAATGGAATAACCATACACAAGATCATAAAGGTCTTAGATAAATAAATATTTGTTCTGAGCGAGAACACAAAGAAGTTCCATGTTTTCAATTAAATTTTAATGAAAGTTTCCTATGACATTGCAATTAAGTTGGCGACATTGATTATTAAATTCAAACGTTACGATTTTACAGTCAATTGTCATTCATTTATTTTGGCAGAAATCTGTCATTTAAACATTTATTTTAAAATAGATTGATTTACAACGATTTCAGGCTTAAAATTAAGACATTTTGATTGGAAATAGCACAAACTGCTGTATTTTGACCGAAAATTGAAATTTAAGCAAGTATTTTGTTAAAAAAAAAACATTGATTTATAACGATTTCTGTCTTAAAATCGAGCATAATTGGATTGTAAATAGCTCATCGCTATATTTTGGGCGCAAATGACGATATAAATACTTATTTCGTTGAAATATATTGCTTTAGGGGGTTTTCTAACGTAAAATCATCACCAAACGTCACAACAAAGTAAAAAGTTTGTTTAAAAACGGCTAAAAGGGGGCAAATAGTATGAAAAAAATTGTTTCATAATTTTTAAACTTGAATTCGTGCTTCGTCTTATGAAACTTGTTTTTAATACATTATTTTGGTTTTTTAATTTCAAAAATAGCAATCAGAATTTACTACTCAATATAAGATTTTACCAAAAAAATATCATTTTTCCGTTTCACGATCCTGCATACAAAGATAAAGTCTGTTTTTTTATTTAAATGGAAATTACCAAGTCAAAATTTTGGTGAAAAAATTGGTTGCAGCTTGTTTCCATAGCCACAAATTTTGTTTGCTCTTTGTTTTTGTCCCTAGAAATTTTGTTAAAAAATTATGGTTATGTGTTCAAATTGAGACGTTGTCAAAATTTTTACTTTTATGAATCTTGTGTGCCTGTTTGCTCTTTGAAAGCGCTATAATTGAATACCTGATGACAGACATCATTACCTAAGGTCTAAAGACAGAATTCAGTCCTAATAATTTTGATAGAAACACACTGCAAGTAAGTACAATGTTGTGGACAAAAATGAGGTTCTCGCTACAAAAACTTTGAAGCAAAAGGATGTATATACAGAAAAAAGTTATTTAGCAAAAGATACAAGTAGGTATTATGATGATTGGCAATAAATTTTCTATAATTTATTGAAATGAGGTCAAAGTTGATGCATTTTATAAATTCTTCTTCAGCTTTAGTTTCAAAATTGTGATTTTTACAACTCGTTCCTCAAAAACGATGCACAAGACACTAATTTAATTGCATTCTTTCCGAGCTTCTTTCCCATTCATGTTTATTTGTGTTCTTGTCAATTTCTTGCTAAAAATTGGGAATGTTTAGCAAACCTGCATTACAAATTGCGTCTACATTTTAACGGACCCTTTTTCTAACTTTCTGCTTGCGAACTATTCGTGTCCAAATGTCTAAAAACTGTTAGCGCTACTGAATTTGTTCCTTTTTTGGTGTTTCGTCTCTAAATTTTCTTAGACGATTTTTTGTGTTGACGTTTAATGACATTGTTTTCAAATTAATTCAAAAAACCGTAACTGCCAACTTCCTTTATTAAAATTACCATGGATGAATTTACTAGTGGTGCCAACGATAAGACTATTTGGCATTTCCATTTAAAAAAAAAACAAACTTTATGTGACTGTTTTATCATTATTATCAATGAAATAACATCGTAGAGACAGCCTTTCATGTTCTTTAGCAACCGAAGAATTCGCTAAAATTACACTTGTCTTAATAAATGTCACGACTGACATTAGTGAAAAATTTATGTTTAATTTTTTCAGTATTTTATGGAAGACACTGAAAACAGCTACATGGAAGACATCGAGGCCGGTATGTGAAAGTGCACCGTTTCGACTGAAACCTGAAAATTTCTTTCAGATGATCTTTTGCGACATTTCCCTTTGCCCAACCCGAAACCCATGGATCAGTGGGAAACTGACGAAGTCTTGGACTTCATATTAGATAAAGTTTCCCCCGAATCCGCCCAATTATCAAACGATAATTTCGAACGCTTCCAATGCATCTCGGGATTCATCTTCCGAAACTTGTCCGAAGAGAACTGTAAAATTTTATCCAAGTCAAATAGTTTAGGTCAGTTAATTTTCAATGCCAAAGAAACTTACCTTAGGTGCCATCCCAATGAATGTAAGTTTTAATCGAAATTATTGCAAAATTTATCGTTTATCTGATCGCTAAGCCTAAACCGTTCAATTAACTGATAATAATTGGGGCAGGTCATATTGCTTCCGCGTTTATTTTCGCATAATGATAACAAAGCAATTTTGTAACAACAACAGAAATTGAGCGATAATTTTTTAGATAATCAAGAGAGTAATTGTTTCTACGAAACCAATAACGAGAACGTGCCAGTTTTCAATAACCCAACCAATGAAATTTACTCCTCTCCTAACAATAAAAGACCAGGAAGGCCTCGATGCAAACCCACATCCGATAGAATTGGTAAGTTGATTATCCATGACCTTTGGGTTTGATCAAATTGCGGCCACTGTGGTTTATTTTAATCAAAAGTTAAACATTTATGTCATCGTCTCACTTAATTGCAAATAGAACATGCAATTCAAATAGGTTTAAGGTTTACGAAACGGATATTTGCAGATTGACTGAATCTTAAGGTTGTTTTGCTGCTTTCATGAATAAGCTTTCGAGTTGTTTACGCAATATATCAAATTAGAAAAATTTGAGCGTTTTAGGCGATAAGAAATTGCATTTTATTTCAAGTCTCACTCTCATCTGATGCAACAAATCAAACTCAAATAAAGATACGAGTTCAAGGTTTTGATTTTTGTTTGCAAATTGTCTGAGGTATGTTTCAGGTAAACGCTCGGAGAAGCTTTGGGAGTTTTTACTGCACCTCCTACGTGATAGTAACACTTGTCCTCAACTGATCAAATGGGAGAATTTCGAAGAGGGCACATTTAAGTTCGTCCAAAGTGAAAAAGTCGCTCGATTGTGGGGCAACAGAAAGAAGAATGATAAAATGACTTATGAGAAATTCAGTCGAGCTATGAGGTAAACCTGATTTTGAGTGCGAAAAAAATTTGCTTTGTTCCTTCCCAGATATTACTACAAGAGAGAGGTGTTGTTGCCAGTGCCGGGCAAACGTCTAGTTTACAAATTCGGGCCCCAGGCCAAAGGGTGGCAAACCATCCGCCCGATTAATTAAGCGAATTTAGTTAAGTTTTACGATAGGTTTTGTAAGTTTTATAAATAAAAAGTTGATGTTAATTGCGATTTATGTTTTTTTTTTGTTGTGTAAACAAGTGTAAAGGGCGCAAAAAAGGTGGAATTGGGTAATTTTCGAATTACTTTGTGACGTTGCGAATGGCGGTATTACGCAACTTAGCGAAATGGTTTTTGTACCGTTTTTGAGCAAATTATTACAATAACGATTGATTGTTAATTGTGATTTATTGATGATATGTACATAAAAATGCCTAGACTAGGAATTATGAGAGGTACAAATATTTTTTATAAAATAATTTCAAGAGCACAGTATTAAGATGAGTATTTTGTGTCCTATCACATCGAATTGAACCCTAATCTATGAAACACGAAGAGATCTGGTCATTAGTTGATGACACAAGCGTTGCTTTGGAACCTGTGTCTGTTCCCGGCGCCGAACCCGGAGCAGCACTGGTGCTGATGATGGTTCTTGTGCAAGTTGTTGGATAAATTAAGCAAAGTTTTCTTCCCTTGAAGGTCGCCGTCGCTCTTCGAGACGGGCATCTCCCCTTTCTCGCCCTTTCGTCCTTCGAGCTTCTTCGCGTAGTTGTACATCGATCTCCCGAACTCGTACGGGTTATTGTCTTTGTCTTTATCTTTTTTGTCGAATTGGTTCGACAGGAAGATGGAGGGTGGGGCCGCCAAGGGCGCCCCCTGCGCCACTAAACTCACTTCCTGAGTCTTTGAGGGCCCGTCGGCGTCCTCCTTGATGGGGGAGCTGTCGCGGACCATGGCCCCGAAAATGTCGGCGGGGTCGCGCATGCCGTACACAGCCCCAGCGGAGTTCGAACGTAGCTCTGCACCAAAGCAAATTATTGGAACGAGAAGCTCAAAAGGGGACTATTTGGGGATTAAGTTTTAGGGAAGCAGCAAACTGGAGTTAGAATGTTAGTACCGGTTTGACACACGACTCACTGGTTACTTTTTCCAGAAAACAGGGAGGGAGACCTGCGAAAAAGACAGTTTTTACGCAGAATTTTTATTGATCAAACTTGTGGTGCGACACTACAAAAGATTAGTATTAGTATTGCATTGGGATTGAACAATTTGCTCATATCTTTGGGGGTCTGGCTATTCGAGTCAATATTTTGCGCAAAATGCACAATCAATGAATTGTATCGGATCTGATAAGGGGTTTCAGAGAAACATTTATTTGTGCGCAGCGGAATTAGATTGATAAAATAAATACAAACTTTTTTTAGTCAATGATTGACAAACATTGCAAAGTATTTTTAACTTTTAAAAGCTGAGAACTGATAAGATAAGCTCCAAAAAGCCAAACTATGCGTGATCAAACTGAAAGTACATTAATTTTATAAAGATTAAGTAAGAAGGTTTATTGTATTTTTTTTAATTTAAAATTGTTTTTCGAGTGTTATTTTCAATATTTATCAAAAATTTGAAGGTGATACAAAAAAAATTATATTAGAATACCTACTATAAAGTGTTATTATCTTCAAAAGAACAAACTTTTGATTGTTTTAAAATTGTACTTCGATTTAGCACCTCATATAACAAACACAAATAAAAATTACATCAAACCAAGAATTTAAGTTCAAAATTTTGTAAAAAATATCAGTGATTTAGCAATGTCTCGACAAAATAATTTGTTTAAAAAAATTACGAGAAAAGTTATAGAATTTAATTGCAATCATTTAAAAAACTATTTTTCCTGTAAGCATGTAAAGTTTATTTATTTCAGAGTTAAAAATGCGTGATTTTCTCACTAATACGCATACTTGAATTTGTTTTGTAAAGATTTGTAAGTACAAGATTTTTGTTATTATTAATTAACACAAAACAAAACAAAATTTCAGTTTCAGTTAAACAACTGAACTGATGTGTTACTATTAATTAACATAAAACTGGAAGTGTTTTTAGTTTTAGTTCAGTTCAGTTTCATTTATCATTCTGAAGTTTCGACCAAAAACAAAAATAATTAATCATTGAAAAACAAGATTAAACAATAAAAATTTCTTCAAACTCTTCAAAATATTCGTAGAATTAGAGAAAAAAACGATTAAAAAGAAATTTGTCTTGATTAATTAGCACAAAATAAGAATTATTTTTAGTTAAAACACATTTTTAAAAATATCTTATTTAAGTTGTTTCAAATAAAATTAAATCAAAATAAAAAAGCAGTTCTTTTATGTAATATTCTTCAAATTTATTTCAAAATTAGAAATGATGACTTGTTCATTAATATTCGTAAATATTTCGTAAAAAACTTTTACAAAATGTTTGTTATCATTAATAATAATAACATAGAACAAGAAGTGTTTTCAGTTAAAACAAACTTTTCCATCTGAAATTGAAGGCAAAATATTTATCTTGATTCAAATTAAGAAAAAAATAGAATCTTACTGTAGTAATTGAAAAAACTTTTGTTTTTGTATGAAAGGTTTTACCTCAGAATTAAAAATGGATTAATACCTTCTTGAAATTATTTCCTAAAGACAAAAGTTTTGTTATTCAATATTAATAAGTTTCAACCAAAAACTGTTTATTAAATTATATGTATATTTGTGTTTAGTAATAGATCAAATGTGTAATGTGTCTTGTGTAATCAAGACATGAATAATAGGGCTACCTTCGAAATTTAATTAGTTAATATAAAACGGTTTGTGATAAAATAAACACCGATAAGAATTTGCAGGGGGTTATCGCCTTTTGTAAGTTTATTTTATTCGTAATTCGTAAAAGATAATAATTTCCATAGTGTTATGTCACAACTGAAGCTTATTTATTTAACTAGYAAAATAAGATTCCAGAAAGACAAATAACTCTTAACGATAGAGACAATATTTTATGAGTGATTAAATCATTCATTACGTTTCTTATCGTAGTTTTATAAATTTTGTATAGCCAATCTTACCTCTGGTACTTTGCGAATATTTAACCGGAGAACTCGCAATACTCCTCCGCGCCACATCCTGAAATGTGATGGGAGAATAAACGACACTCCTTCTATCCTCCGCATGAATGTTAGGATGTTTAAATTCTCTATTATCCAAAGGATCGATCTCCTGGTGAAACGGTGCCTTTTCCCGGCGATCTATCGGCGTCCTTGACTCTTTCCCCTTCAACCAATACGTTTTCATATGACCTGTTGAATCATCCCAAGAGTAAAAAGCTAAACTTCACCCCTTTGTACCTTTTCCTTTGACTTGGATCTCCCCTCGCTCGAGCACGGTGTAGGCAGGGGGCAGCAATTGTCGCGTATATTCCGAAATATGGATCATCATCGCCTCACTTGTCGATTCCATTCGCGAGGCAGTGTTGACACTGTCGCCGAATAAGCAATATCGGGGCATTTTTAAGCCCACGATTCCGGCCACGACGGCTCCGGAGTGGACTCCAACCCGGATTCGCAAATGCTGGCCTGGGGAAATAACCAATAATACTAATTTATTATACAATAAGTAACGAAAAGTTCACTCGAGGGCATAGCACGAGTTTCAGAAAGGAATCACAAGCAGATAATGTTTATAATAAGTTTTCTCTCATTCATAAATAAAAAATTTGAAATGTTTCAATTTAGTTTCTGATTTTTTAATTTCACATTATTTCTCATGTAAATTTGGCATGAAATAAAAAGCAACCAAAACGATAAAAATTCGGTAACAAACGATCGTGACTTATTTAAAGAAGTACATAGAGTGAAATGTGTAAAGTGTAATTATTGCATTTTTTGTGTGCCCTAGGTGTTTTTAACAAATTACGTGTGGCTACGAAACCCTCTATTGACGCATCGTATCTATAGAAAAATCGTTTTCCTAAGACCCACTAAAAAATTTATGACACATTATAAGGGATTAACCAAACAATGGCTTGAATTTGCAACCCTCCATAAATGGAACGTTCCTTTGCAAGTGTTGCTGCATCCACTAGAATAAAACAGGGCCGTATTTAAAACTAAAGTAGTGGTAGAGTTTTACCAAGCTATAATTAATAATCAGTTTTATTTAATAAGAGCTTGTTAATAACCACCTGGCTTTTTCAAATTTCTTACAATACTTGACTTTAATAACAACTACATCAAAAACTATTAAAATAATTCAAGTATTTTAGACAAAAAGAAATCCGGCCCTTTTAAAAACTGACGTGTTTCCTTAGCTTCTCGGTCCGGGTGAGTTCCACTAATTTATGATTTGTTTACCCTCTGGTTTACTCTTAACAATACCGCATTTACCTTAAAAGTACCTACATAATAAAATTTTTAGTAGGTCTTAAGAAAACGATTTTACTATAAAATGTTACACTTTGTACATTTCACTCTATTCATCTGTCTGTTTCAGGTCTCAAAAAGTACACATTAAAGTAAAATAATTGCTGTATACGGCATTTTCATGATCGTTCTCTTAGATATAGAAGGTGTAAAGTGGTATATAACTAAATATATAAATTTTACAATTTCTTATATACTGGATTTGACATCTGTCAAAATTAACCTCAAAATTTTCAATAAATTCACGTTTTTTATAAAATTTCGCTGACGATCATGAAAAATGTTGTTTGATACACGTGCGCTGTGTTATTTTTCAGGTCTTCGACCTTCATTGCAGCATTCAGCTTCGCTTCGTGCCAAAAAATTCGGTCTCAGACCTGAAAAATAATTTGATAGCGCATTTGTATCAAAAATAACTATTATCTACCATGAGTAATAAAAACTTGATAGTGTTTCCAGAAAACATTTTGAAACCTGAAACTTCTAATGGACCCATTGCATCTAATTTTTTGAGGAGACCGCATGCGTCACCTCCGCCCCTTTTGTAACCGCGAAAAAGAAATGGTCCAATCAGAAGTGAACAGTGAAACGCAAGTTAGTGTAATCTATGGTGATTAGGTTGGTTGTCTGAATGTCTACAAGGGCACTTGACCGGCTTTATGTTAGCGTGCTCGCGCTTCGCGTGGTTATAGTGTTTTGTATTTCGTTTTGTATAAGCAACTTTATTAGAACCGTGTTGAACACGCTTTTGACGTTTCGTTTTAGGTTATCCACACAGTGACTTTGGCGGCTTTGGTTGGTAGCGATTGGCATTTGATTCTAAAGCAAATTTAAAAATAATGGGTGGAGTTATTTCTCCCGCCGCGCATGCGGTACCCTCGATTTTTCCTTGATGCAATGGGTCCATTCTAATATAAAGTCCAATTTTTTTTATAATCAAATGTCAAAGTTCCATATAAAAAACATACTGTACCTTGGACCGAAAATTCAAAAAACCTTTATTTATGGACTAGCTACAGTGTTTTTATTAAAATGAGGTGGAACAACTAAAAACATATTTCTAACAAAGCAAACAAATGCCATCATGGGAAACGTTTTTCACTTGTAAACTTGTAATTGTGTAAATTTCAAACCGCATCAAAACGTTATCCCGTAGCCATTCAGATGCAAGTATCCTGACGTCATGTCAGGTAAATCGGAGGGTTGTTTAATCGTACAACTAAAAATTAGTAGGTATGTTGTAAACAAGTGTAAAGGGAGCAAAAAATAGTGAAGGTGGAATTGGGTAATATTCGAATTACTTTGTGACGTTGCGAATGGCGAGATTACGCAGCCCCAAACAAAGGCCTTGTACACCAGAACTGTTACGAGATGGTGTTTTTGTGCCGTTTTTGAGGAAATTATTACAATAACGAGTCAGTTTTAACCAAGCTCCCATACGAGTACCTTGAATTGTAATAATTGTCCGGATAAATTATTACTTATTTGGTAGTTCAGTGCGAAATTGTGTTGGGGCCTGTACACAGTGTGTTGTGTATTTTCTAGTTCCTAATAGACATTTAGTAGTGCGCGATTTTTTAAATTTCGAGTAATTAGTAGGTGCCAATAGACGAGACAATCGTGCTACAAGGATCCGGATTAGTGGGTAAGTCAGCAATACTTTTTTATTTTTTAGAAAAATTACCTTTAAATTTTATTTAATATTTTCAACTAATGTAATAATACGTTATATACTAATTTTGTGTTTCTTTATTTTTGGTAGGTCCGTTTAAGAAGCAGAGGCGAATTGCTACAAAAGGTAGCAGAAGAAGATGCCATAAAGGTTAGTGCATTTTTATTTTTAATTTTTTTGTTTATTGCAAAGTGAAGTGTGTGAATTTGTGATTTTCGAGTGGAACAGTAAGTATTTAAAATTATGAATAAATAGTACATTACAAGCGAGGTGGTAAATATGGCATTACCCCGAGTGCTTATGTATACGATCGAGAGGCGCCAGCCTCGAGATCGGATAAAGCACAAGGGGTAATGCCATTACCACCGAGGTTTGTATGCTATTTTATTCACAACCACATTATTTTCAATCAAAAATTTGAGTAAAATAAAATTCTAACAAAGTTAAGGTCCAAACGTGGTAGGCCATCCTAATGGCGTTTGATTTTTGACATTTCAGAAATGTCGAAGTAAATATTGAAATAATGTGTGAATCTGATTTAGAATTATCGAACTGGAGCAGAAGTAAGAGAAACTGCTACAAAAGCAATTGAATACTAATTTAGCAAAATATTATGCGTAACTTGACAATTTGAAAGAAAAAATTCCCGGTATTTTCGTAATTTTAACGTTGGCAATCCTGCATATTACCACCCAAGAGGAGTAACATTTATTACTCTTCATGAGAAATAATGATATGTTTCCCAACCTTAAAAAGGTTAGTAATCGGCTTATTACATTAGTGATTGTAAATAAAATTAATTCTTTTAAATAAAATGTATTATTTCTCAAATTCTTTTTCAAAATTTGTAGAAGACGAGTGCATTCCTATTATAGAACAATTCAGTTAAAATTTAATTGAGTTGATTTTATATGCTCTTATTACGATTTGCCATTTTTGAAATCTGAACAAATTTGTGAAAGCACACTGACTATGGCACGGCAAAACACTAGAGTTCCTATATTTGAATTTTTATTTATCAATTTTTATTTGTTCTTTTGTTAAATTTAAACTGATTTGTATCTAATTTTATTGCTATATACGTCAGGCGATGTATACAGTATGTCTACGAATTGAGTTTACAAGAGGAAAAAAAATTGTATCTTTGATTTTACGTCAAAACTGAAAGTGAAATTTTTTTTTGCTTTACCTGAAACGAGCAAATCTGTAATTAAAACTTTATTATTCTAACTTAATAGAAAAAAATAGTATATTACAAACGAGATGGTAAGTATGGCATTACCCCGGATAAAGTACAAGGGGTAATGCCACTACCACCGAGGTTTATATGCTATTTTATTCACAATCACATTATTATTAGTCAAAAATTTGAACAAAATAACATTTTAACAAAGTTAAGGTTCAAACGTGGTAGGCTATCTATCTATCTAAATTGCGTTTGATTTTTGACATTTCAGAAATGTCAAAAAAATATTGAAATATTGTGTGAATCTGATATTAAAATTGTTGAAATAGAGTAGTGCGCTCCCCCAAAAATAAGAAAAACTGCTACAGAAGCAATTCAATACTAATTTAGCAAAATATTAGGTATGCGTAACTTGACAATTTGAAAGAAAAAATTCTCTGTATTTTTTTAATTTTAACGTTGGCTCTCTTGCATATTACCGCCCAAGAAAAGTAATATTATTACTCTTCATGAGATATAACAAAGTGTTTCACAACCTTTAAAAGGTTAGTAATCGGCATATTACATTGGTGATTGTGATAAAGTTCATTTTTCTCTGATTTTTAAATCCCATAACATTGCCGGTTTTATTTTTTTCCAATGATGTCACTTTGACAAATGTTAAGTTAAAGTTAAATAACAAACATGTTTATGAAAAACATAATTTTGATAAATAGCAACTCAAAGAAACAGCTTTAAGATAAAAAACAAAGTCATTTTTAACAAAAACTATCATTATTTAATTAATAAATTAATTGTCAAAGTGACATATAGTTGTCAAATAAGTAAAACCGTCAATGTGATAGGACTTAAAAAGCAGAGAAAGTCTAAAATCAAGAGAAACAACTTTTCTTTTCACTGAATCAGAATAATAAAGTTATAATTACAGATTTGCTCGTTTCAGGTGAAGCAAGAAATGTTTTTCGTTTGCAGTTTTCGCGTAAAATTAAAGATAAAAAAATTTCCTTTTCTAAACTCAATAACAAAAATAGAAAATTGCCATTCTGTGTGCCAACTCTTCTAATATAGAAACTCTAGAATAAAGTTGTACTTAAAGTTGTACTACTTCTACTGGGATCTAAGGAATAAACAACATTGTTAATACCTATAAGAGAATTGTTTTTTATCAATGGCACATACCTGTCGAAGGGTCTTTTAAGTCGGTGATGGCGTCCACCATGTCCAGAGCCATGTCGCAGACGCGTTCCGCGTGGTTGCCCTCCTTCTCGGGGGCCCCCGACACCACCATGTAAGCGTCCCCGATCGTCTCCACTTTGTACACCCGATTTCTCTCAGTCAGCGTATCGAAAATCGAATACATGCCATTCAGCATTGAAACAACCTCCATTGGCGTAATCCTGCTGCAAATCTCCGTGAATGTGACAACATCGGAGAAAAGGATTGAAACGCTGTCGAACATCTATTAAAAAAAGTTCTTTTGTGTTGTGTTAAGTTTGCACGTTTTAAAATACTTCGCATGTATCAATCGGATTTTCGCCTTTTCGTAATCTGTCGGCCACTTGTTTGGGAATCATTTGGTAGAGCAATTCGTCCGTTCGTCTCATTTCCTCGTCCAATTTTCGCATCGATTCTTCCAATTTTTTACTTTTCTGTTGTTCCTGATCCAGAGCTAATTTCAATTCGACCGACTGTTGGGTTCCAGCCAACATCAAGTCTCTAAATTGAATAAATTTGAGTCAAAAGCAGGAAAATGCTGATAATAATTAGTGACACTTCAAGGTGAGCAATCAACTGGAAGCTCGGATTATAATAAAGGAAAGCACCAAAAGCGATAACGAGTGAAAACTGCTAATCGTGTTTTACGGGCCCTAAATATGCACGATTATTCCAACTTTCTACTATTTCGATGTTTCAATAAGGAAGTAAATCTTTCAAAGATGGAAATTGATGAGTCAAGCGTTCATAATATTATTTATTAATAATTCGCTTGTCGCAAGATATTAGTCACAAAATATAATCATTTATGTAAACACAATGTAAATTAATGTCGTGCAAACGAAATTGGAACGTGCCAAAAATTTTTGCATTTGATCGCTTAGGGTAAATACCGGGTGTCCCAAACAAGCACTGGTACTCTATTTTTTTTTTTTTTTGATCGCACCATAAAAAAATTCTCTTTTAGCAACAATGACTTGATACTAACGCGAACCCGGAAAATTCAAATTTCTATTTTTCGAGGACCGTTTTCGCCCAAATGGAGTTAATTGGACAATCGACAAAAATGTCGATAAGATAGCCCTTTGCGAACAATACAAGCTCTTTCAATCAGATTTTGATTTCTGTTACTCTTGCAGCCCGAAAAAAAATAAAAACTAATTTTCCATGTTAATTTCTTATGACCAAGCTTGCCTGGGACACCCGGTATATTGAATTAATAGGTCTGTGTAAAACAATTTGATTTTTAGGTTCAAAATTATAAAGTTAAAAACATAAATATATTTTGAGTTGTTTTATAGCTTCTTATAAATCGTTGAATCCTTGAATTTTCAACGGTTTATTCTGTTTTTTTAAGGTGTGTTAGTTAAAAAGTGAAAATTTTGTAAGACAAGTCAGAACATTAAAGATTTTTCCTTGTTTTTAAAATAGTAAAAAAAGGTAAAGTTTCAATGTATTTTGGTCTTTTTTTAAGTTTATATTAAAGATACCTGTTTAGGACAATTTGATTTTTTAGTACAGTTTGGCAAAAAAGTGATTTTTTTAAGTCGAACGCAGTAGTACTTTAAACAGAGTAAATCCGGGAGAGATGGACCAGCAAGATGTACAGGTGCGCCAGAACTCGCGCCCCAAAGAAAAATGATAAGGTAAGATACCAGGAACATGGAAAAAATGTTAAAAAAATTTTATCTATAAAAATTTCGAAGTTTAAAGTTTGCACTTTGACTCTATTTATTTCTGTTGGAAAAATAATTTTTCAAGTTATTTTGCTATAGGCTATTAAAAGAGGAAACAAGGAAGCTGTATCCGAAATTGTAACTCTGTTCAATGTTATTTATGGCTTTTATTGGCAAAATTTTTGTCCCTTTACGAAATAATTGTAAAAAAATATATACAAGATCATCAGTATCATTAAATAGATATAAAAAAATTGTCAAATGTCAAAAAATAAATGTCAAAAAATAAATGTCAAAAAATAAATGTCAAAATTTTTTGTCAGATAGAATTTTTAAACATTTTTTTCATGTTCCTGGTATCTTACCTTACTTGAAAATTTTCTCTGGGGCGCGAGTTCTGGCGCACCTGTATAGCTAGATTGGAACTATTGACTTTGAAAAACAAAAAATAAAAATTAAAAAAATAAAGAATATGTTTTTTTTTACTTCTATAAAAATATTTATGGTTAAAATTAAAATAAAGATACTTGTACAGCAGGTTTTTCAAAATGTGGTCCATCTTTCCCAGACTCACCCTATTACCATTTTACCATTTTAAAACAATTTTTTAGAAAACTAATTTTTAATAACTATTATGTCTCGTTGACTGATAACAGAATCTTTTTAAAACCACCGAAATTTTAATCAATTTTGTACAAACTTCTAATCGGTCATTAGCTCAACTGTTTATCAAAGCAAAAACTTGTAAAAAAACTAAAAAGTCAAAAATTTTAAATGAAAAAACTATGCATTCTTCCATTTTGCAATCAAAAGCAGTAAATTTTTGTTCTTGGATAAGAAGATTAAAAAGTTAATTAACTAAAAAAAAGTTATAAAATTGAAGTTTCATGGTTTGAATTGAAATAAAGGTCGTATAATTTTATAGCATATTTTTTAATATGTGGTCTATCCCTCCCAGACTTACTCTATTACACAGTTTTTACAATTTTTCCAAATGAGACAACTAATTTTTACTATCCATTATTCTGGAGAAAAATCTGATAACTGATAACACAATATTTACAAAACTACCAACATTTTAATCAATTTTTTACAAACTTGTAATCGGTCATAAGCCCAACGTGTAATGGCAAAATTGCTTTGGAATTAAAAGCAGTCAGTTTCTGTTGCAAAAAAAGATTAAAAAATTAAACTTTCTTTGCTCAAATTGTAAAACTTTCTCGGAAGTACGGGTAAATAAAAAACAAACTTAATTTATCCCGAACAAAAACCCTCGCGTTTAAGTTTAAATAGTCTGTAATAAATTAAAATCGATTCAATTTTGCATTGAAAGTGTCAAATCGTGTCAAACACGTGGCAGGGCATATGTCTGTGTAAATTACCTGCTGAAATCGTGCATGGAGAGATCATTAATATAAAGCCCGGAATTGATTAGTGAATTCAGATCAGGCATTACGGGGGTTCCTAGATACATCATCATCTTCCAATTGTCCATATAAATCATTTGCCCTGCACAATCATCGTGTGAAATTAAATCAATCCCGGAGTCTACTTACCTTTAAGTCTCAAACTCCGGTCTTCCTCCAAATCCAGTTCGTCGCTTAGTATCATCTCTTGTCTCCCTCTTTCCGGGGGTTTGTCGTGGAGGATTGGTTCGACTGTCACTAGTTCAAAAATATTATTTGTGCGATTTAAAATCTGCAAAATTTAATAATAATTCAAATTGATTGATCCGAGTTACCTACCGTTTGAAACTTGAACGCTGTTAAAGGCCGCACTAAATCGAACCAATTTGTTATTTTTTTCCCAATTAAATCGGGTAAAATCACCATGAGAGAGTTGCCTATGCTACGGACTATCATATCTGAACTGAAAACGACCCTTGAGGTGAGAGAAACTAAAATTGTGGATTGGATTTACCCAAAAACTATACAAAAGGGGAAAATTTCAAACAAAACAGACGCACTAATCGGTAAGTGTTTTTCCTCCCTTGTCATCGCCAGCGATGCGAGAGTGAAAGCTCGATTATCGAATGTTAACTGGAAAGTGACATGAACCATGTCGAAAAGTAACTCTTCCCGCACTAGCTCAATTTTCATTTCCTTATTGTAGAAATGTCTAGCTACTTCTTTGATCTGTCCCATCGTGTAGTAAACAAACCCTCGTCTTTTGCTTCGGTAATGTAGAGTCAGTCCTTGTTTCGTTTCATTCTCGCAAATGAAACTTGGCGCCCGCATTCGGGGATACGAAAACTTCAAATACTCATGGAGATTATCTAAACCGTTGAGGAAGTCTCTCATGTGCCGGCCGAGGACTGAAAGGACTCGGTCGTAGCCGTATTGACTGACGAAACTGACAAAAAACACGCCCATTTGCTCGAAAAAATCCTTCTCGCTCACTTTTAATATCTGAAATATTATTATATTACACACCGAGGTGGAAAGAGTTTCATTTCTGTCGAGAGATTAGAAAGTTTACCGACTTGCTTGTTGTACAAGGTGCTGCATTTTGGATGTGCAAAACTAAGAATATTAGCCAAAAACGAGTGATACATTCTGGGGGTCATTTTTGGAGAAAATGATATTAGTTAAAACCGCATCCTGCTATCATCTTTTGTTTTCGACTTATACAGGCTGCCCCAAAAGTAAATCGCTATACGATATAAAATGTAATTCTGAGAGAAAAAGTAATCTTTATTCGTTAAAAAGTTACAGCTTATACAAGAGTTGATGTTTTAGCAGAATCTAAAAAAAAAACATATTTTTCTTATTTTAGAAGATGTGGATTTGAAATAAAGACATTATTCAGTCACTTTTTTACGTAGAATTTAATAATGCAATTAACCATTTGTTTCAGTTATTTGTTTAGCCATAATAAAATAAACTTGATGTTTTTTAAATGTAAGTCACAGGTAGCTAGGGCAGTTTGGAAAAGCTTATTTTTTCTGATCTAAAAATAACAGAATATTTTTTATAATTATACTTAAACAATGAAATACATATTTTGTTTGATAGTAGTTGGCTATGGATAAACTATTTTCCTTAAAAGTGTGTAGATAATAATCAATAAGAATTTTGTGAACTTTGAAATAAATAAAAAAATAGATAAAACAAGAGAAATAAAAAAAATAATACGTTTAGAAGTATTGAAAATTATTACATACAGGATGTCCCAGCGGGTTGAAAAAGTCGATTAGTGACCTTTACATGGTAAAATTTAAAAAAAATGTATAGGACATTGATAGATACTAATCTAGTGCATTACTTAAAATTATTTTCAGCCATACAGCATGTCCTAAAAATAATTTGCGATACAGACTTGTGTTTTTTTAAATGAAACACCGTATGTTTCTTTGCATTTTTCGATGTAGCGTTTTAAAACAATGTTTTTACGCTAAACTTTTATTAATCGATTTCGCTTAGTAAGACGTTTTTTTTGACGAAAACATGCACTTTTTAAAAATTTAGTACACAAAAACTAAGACAGCTCGAACAAATTTTTTCTTACTTCTGCAAAGAAGAAAGTACAGAATTTAGAGCTGTAATAATTTTTTAATGTGTCGCATTTGTAAAGATTAATAAATTAAGAAGTTTGTTAAAAGTTAAATAACTTAAAAAATTAAATGGAACACCCCATTTATTATTTTTGCATCTAATAAAATAATAAAAAAATAAACTTTTAATGTCTAGAATCGATAAATGAAAAGATATTTAACATACAATATTAATTGTAGCAACAATGCCTATTAATATTGTTGATACTATGGCAACCATAGTAATTCCACCACGGATCATTTATCCATTGATTTATTCAGAGATTGTAAAAGTCGTTATAAATACTGAAATTCGAATTATTTTATTGTAAAAATAAAGAATAATGGATTCAGTTTAACACAAATGTGATTATTAAGTGATATTTCTACCATCTCTTGTGCAACTGTGCACTTTTTGCCTACTGAAACAATAGTAATTATTTTTGTAATGTTTAACGTTAAATATCTTTTTAGTTATTGATTATAAACACATAAAAATAAACAATTTTAGAAAGACAATTTAATAATCTTTTAAATGCAAAAACAATAAATAGGGTTCCATTAATTTTTTTTAAGTTATTGAACTTTTAACAAACGCCTTTATTTTTTTATCTTTGCAAATGCATCATAATAAAAAAAATGTTACAACCTTATAGCTTGTACTTGTAGTGAAAAAAATATTTCTAGATGTCTTAGTTTTTGAGTAATAAATTTTTAAAAAGTGCATGTTTCCGTCAAAAAAACCGTCTTATTTTAAAATTAAGCAAAACTGACCAATAAAAGTTTAGCTTAAAAACATTGTTATAAAAATTTTCATCCAAAAACGATAAGAAACATATAGTGTTTCATTTAAAAAACACAAGTTTGTGTTGTTTGTATTGTAACTTATTTTTAAGACTCGCTGTACAGTTGAAAATAATTTTAGGCGATGGACTAGATTAGACTAGATTTTAATTTTACCATTTAAAGGTCACTAATGGACTATTTCAACTCGTTGGGGCACTTTGTATTAAAAAAAAAAAAACAGAAATAGGTAAGAAAAACAAATTTGTCAACAGTCAACACAGAAAAAAATCATATTTTAATGGTGAGATTTCCTATTTGGACATCCAAAATGCAGCACCTTGTACACCATTTTATCCACAACCGTATCTTCCATTTTTGTGAAAAAAAAAACAAAACGAGGGTATTAATAGAAGTAGGTAATGAGACGCTTTCCAATGTTAGAAATGTCAACATTACACATACGGTTGTGAAAAAATGTGGTTTACGGCTTGTAAAGTGGTCTAATTTTGTTACCTGAACGGCCTTTTTCGACAGGCGAGGAATCAAAGCTTCAGGATAGACCTGATGGGTGCTGAAACTCGGCTGATCCACGGCCGCGGCGCGCCTTATCTCTTCCCATTTTTCCTCGCCGTAGGTTTGCTTTATGTACTCGGACATATTTTCCAGAATTAGGCCGTACATGTTGCATTGATCTGGGGAAAAACCTAAACAATGTAAATTGTTTTAATTCAAAAATCCGTTTATTTGCGGTTTTGTGAAATACTTCTCTGACATTATTCTGAAAATTGCACATTCCGGGTTAATTTTTTAAACTTCTCAACAAAACCAACAGTCCAAGTCATTTATTTTGTTTGTTTCGAGTTGGGTTTTGCAATTTTGGTGGATGCGCCGGGATAATTTTTATCAAATCATGTTTCTATTTAAACGGGATCAATCTATTCATGAATGTTATCACAAAAGTCACTCTTATCTGTTTTAATGGTCTAATTATTTTGTATAAATTACGATGAAATGTCAGATTTACCGCCTGAATAGTGATATAAATTACGATCGGCGGAGTGTAAGCCTTAAGAGCTTAGAATTAATGATTTACAAGTTTGGAGAACAGCTAAAGTGTTGAATTTTTATTTTCGAAACACTTGGGGAAAAATAGACATGTTTCTGCACATCTATCATCTTTTCGACTTTATTAAAATACGAATAGGAAAATTTGATGCGGAAAACTGAAAATAAACAACAATAACAACAAGCACTCTGAAAATGCTTAAAAGTTCGTTTAGCTTTGTCAGAAAGCTGGTGTCTGGAGGCCACCGCCAGGTTATTTAATTCCTGGTGTGTTTCAGGAATCGATCCGATTTATTTTCACTGACAAATTTTACTCTTATTTTAGTGTGTTCCCACTCAGACACTCAAATTTAGTTTATAGACCATCAAAACTCCCCCCATCGTGTTATGTCCAAACTTTGATTAAAAACCAATTAATTTCTATTATCGCAACATTACGACAAGTTTCTTTTATTATTTTCGACTTGGACATATATCTTTGCAACGGTGTTAATTCCTACCAAAATGAAGATTTACTACGAACGCTATTTACAAAATAAATCACTTTTTCTAGGGGACAAAGAACAAAGATGAATCCCAGACAATTCTTGAAATTTTTGTTTGTTTAAGAAGATGTTATAATTACACGTAATTATAGTTAGATTGTGTAACAATCCGTTAGTAATAATAGCCCCATATTTAGCGTTTCTATAATTAGCACCTCCTTTCTTGGACTATGGCAAATACGTGCCTGAAATGACGCATTTTCGCAAGCCTTACCGATTATGGAAAGAAAAAGAAACAAAAATAACCTCATTTCAAATCATATTTTGACAAGCTTTCGAGTTTTCCAAATTAAAGTTGACAGACCTTTTATTTTGGTATTTTTTGAGGTGCAAAACTCACAAATTTAACAGCTTTTCAAAACAGATTTTTCCACTGGAAATTTCATATAGCGAGATGCAATTTTGACCCTCTCTTTTCACACACATAAAGGAAAATTACGAGCTTATTTGTTGCCGAAGGCTTTGTGTTTTCATAGATGAAAATCTGTAACAGGCAGACTAATTAAAGAGTTATTTATTAATGATAATTCAGCAACAAGTTTCTGACAGAACAACAATATTTTATCGATTTTCTAGTTCAAACTGTGCGATTTGTTTCCACCCCATATATTTGTAGTGTGATTTGAAGTGTTTCCTGGAAGATAAAGACAGTGTTTGGCATTATTTTTTTCAAATTCCTCTCTGTAGGCTTGTTTGCTCCACTTGATGTGGAGAGGCCGTAATTTCAGAAATTACAGTCTATGATTAAAATTTACTTATTCATAGTGAATTAAGTGTGGGGTTGTAAAAGAGAGTAAGATTTCCTTGGACGAAATAAGGTCAACGATTTTCCACCCACCCAAAAACTTATTAAGTTACAATTTAAATCAATATTCGCAAATCTGTAATTTCTATAATACTAAATAAACTTCCCGTGACCCATTTTTTAAATTTTAATAAATTACAACCCTCGCTGGGGGAAAATAACAAAGATAAAGCTTAAAAAGAGATTTGGGTAATTAATTTTAATAAAATTTCTTTTGATCGTGGCTAACACTTCTTTTGTGTCAAGAACTCCCGACAGAGCAATTCGAGACGAAATATTTGATTATCTGAATGTGAAAAAATTTGAAAAATTAATTAATCAAACCACGAAATGGCTTGATTACTTTGAACACGTCGTAAATCGTTTATCGCAATCAGGAACACATAATTACTTATTAATTAATGCTGAGCACATTACTTTTTGCTTTGAATGAACTTTACGTTGCATGCTAATTAAATTAATTGCTTGAAATCGATACAAAGCGACATCAAGAAATCAGAAATTAGTGCTTAAATTCCGGAATTTCTGAAGCCCCAGTAGGAAAAATGCAAAATCGTGACTTGGTAGTACAGTGTTAATTAAACGTTTTTTAGAACAAAGGCAGTTAAGGCTTTCCATATTTGACCGATTGACGCAAAGAAAAGTTATATAAATTTACCCCTGAAAGGTGTAAACTTTAGAAATGGCTAATTAGATTTTAAAGGAGCGTTGGGTGAAACATGAGAAAATGCGTATTATTTTTTAAGGATTGTGTTAGTTTGGATTTGGAGGAAAATGGTAATTTCCAGAAGGACTGTGGTAACACCTGCAATTCAAATCCTGCAGATACATAAATTGGGATCTTGTGAGACACAGTGGGATGCTAAATATATACGCAAATTTGGGGACGTCCTTTTGGAGGATTCTTCAGATTTGCTACAAATCAATGAGAGGAAAGAAGGATAATCCCAAATCTAGGCAGACTTACACTTATAAAATCTTCTTTGTGAATTTAAAATAAAAACAATGAATAAAAATTAGTGATTCTATTTTTTTATTTAGAAAATGCAAGAAACTGCTTTCTCATTATCTTCATAACTTTTTTTAAAAAACATTTTTTTCTTTACAATTTTACAAAATTTTTTTAAAAATAAAAAATCGACGATATTTACACACGTTTTTTATCATTTGGGAATACAAATTGCAATTACACACTTTGAATTGTATTAAAAAAGAAAAAAACACTACAAATAAAATGCAGCTTAGTTTATCAAATTGCGGGAAATTGCTTTACTATTAATTTAGCTTCTCTTAAACAATGAAAACATTTTCTTTCAGCACTTAGTTACTCTGTCTAAAACTTAAATTGGACAAGGATTTTAATTGTCAATTGTACAAAAAAAAAACTACAATGTCACGGTTTAGGACTCACTTTGAATTTAAATACTTGATTTAAACAAATAAAAAATAAAAAAAAACTAAACATATAAATGAAAGGAAGGGAGAATAAGCCTAAATATAGACAATCTTTGTTGATTTTGAAAATCGAGGAAACTGCTTTAGTATTACCGAGAAAAAAAATATAAAAAATAAAAGTATAATTTTATGAAAAGCAATTTAAAAATCAAAACTATTGCTGTTTTTAAAAATATGAAACACCTGAAAAACACGCTTTTATCAATGGTAGGAAAAATTGTAATTACACGATTTAAGTCTCATTTTGAAATGTAATAAAAAATAAAAATGCACAAAAAATAAATAAAAAAAGGAAAAAACGTAAAATAGCTCTGATTTTATGAAAGAATTGCAAAAAAATAGTTCATTATCACTTCAGCTTCTGAAAAAAAAAGCACAAATAAACGAATAAAAAGATGAATAAACCTAAACCTAGAATAGTATATTAAAGTACAAGTTGCAGCACAAGCACAAGCACAAATTTGAAATTCCGAAACGAGCCGCGTAGCGGCGAGTTGAGGAACAAATGAGTGCTTGAAGAACCTTCTGCAACAAGTGCTTTATACTGTTTTTTCTATTCTGCCGCTTTAAATCATTTTATAAATTAAAAAATGAAAATTTTACTTTTTTTTCTAGAGAATTTTGAGACGGTTGGCGAGATTTATGTGGAATAATTTTAATAAAAATGATTCTTATTTTCACATTTGAAAATGAATTGTGAAGAAAGTCCGTCACTAAAATTAAATTAACGCCAACGACTTATTCCAGCACTCAAATGACGTCATTTGGGTGCTGGAATAGACTTATTCTAACACCGAAATAGAAAAAGACTTTTAATTTAGAAATGCAGAAAACTGCTTCATTGTTAAACTATTAAAAAAATCCTTATTTATAATTTTATAAAAAAGTAACAAAATGACATAACTAGATACTTTTGAAAGGTGAAACACTGTTGTCACTGTGTCAGAAAATTAAATTATAGATTTGATGAGAAAAACGGTAGGTAGTTGTAGGAAAAATTGCAATTACAGCAGGGTTAAGTCTTATAATTTGAATCGTAATAATTAATAAAAAATAAAAAATTGTACAACAAATTAATTAAAAAAAATCCAAGATCTATCTGAGTTTATAAAATAATTACAGAAAATTATTTATTTAGTTTATTATAATTTCAGCCTATGAAATTTTTTTTAATATTTTACTCTTTTTTAATTTTACGAAAAGCAACAAAAGCACAAAATTAAAAAATATCCTTAAACATTTAATTACTGTGATAAAAAAAATAGATTGTAATAAAAGAAACATTTTCTTGTCAATTGTAGGGAATATTAGAATTGCACACTTTGAAACTCAGTCATTTTAGTTAAAAAAATACAAAACTAGATACTTTTGAAAATGGTGAAACACCTTTAAACACTGTCACTGTGTCACATCTGACGAAAAAAAAGGTTTTTCTGAGTTTTAGAAAAAATTGCAATTATACCTACGCTTTAAAAATTTCGCTCTGAATTTATTAAAAATTAAGCATTGATTTAGGCAAAAAATAGGCAACGTACTAAAATTTGGAAAACAGCTTTATTACTACTGTTCTTAAAAAAATTACAATTTTATGAAAAGCAAAAGAAAACTAGGATTTTTAAAAACAGAAAAACGCTACATTTGCACACTTTTGGGTGTCAAAAATTAAATTAGGATACGGCTTAACGGCAAAAGTGTTTTTTTTCAGTTGTGGGAAAAAATTGTAATTACACGCTTTAAGACACTTTTAATAAAAATAAACATTTTGTTTCGGCAAAATGTAAAATATTATATTATGAGCTTGTCAAAATAAATTAACAGCTTTATGTTCCATTTTAAGTCCTTTATTTGGTTTGCAAATTTTTGCCTTGAATCGAATTTCAATAAAGACCTTTGATGTTTCGGTAGCTAAACCTTGTATTTTATTTTGTACATCTCCTTATTGGATTTCTTTTGCATTAGACTTTACAAGAATTAAGAACACACGCAAATTATTATTAATAAAAAACGAGTTTTTGTGAACTATACACATCATTACAAAAGAAAATAAGTTAAAAATTTAAAGAATCAGATTATGTTGTTGAATTAAACTGAAACACTAGCAATTTGATTAACTAACTAACTTTCCTAATAATAACTTTGTCAAATCATCAGTGTTATTATGAATGAATTTGATGCTAATAACATATGAGTAATAAATGTTTCTGTAACATATTAATATTCGCGGTAAGTATTGAACAACGATTTAAATTAGCGGTCTCACTACCTGATTTTATTATTAATCAGTTCTAACAAACAATTTTTAATTAAAATTTTTATATTATCCAATTTTGTTTGCAGTTCACTTTATTGCTGAAATGTATTTGGGACAATATTATTGAACGAGGCCGTTTGAAAAAATAAACTACCAACCTTTTCCAAGATGGGAAAGTTTTTTCTTCGACACGTGTGGATAAATTCGGAATCAATCACAGATAAATTAAATGTACAAGTGTTTCCACATTCTTATCACAAATCGGTCAATATATCTGAAAGGTGCTTTGGCAGCTTTTATTCCGATCAACAAAGTTGGAGCATTTTATTCACATGGAGGATTTAAATCTACCAAATTTTGCTTTTATTTTCTCCGTTTTTTGTTGACAGGGAATATCCTTAGGGAGGGAAAAATTGTTAAAGCCCTTTCCTGTCGGAGTAAAATAATATAAATATTTATTAAATTCCTCTGTTGAAACTTGTCAGATGGGAAATGGCTCAAGTTGGAAAAGTTTAGATTCGAGGAAAGTTCAGGGCCGAACTTAATGAAGCTTACTTAACAAAGTTAAAATTTTTCACCAAGCAAACAACAAAGTAACATCCATTTAATAACTTTGTAATGAAACAATTGACATGATTAATTATCACCCTCTATTGTTACACAAGAATTATAGATAACCAAGCATCTGTTATTTAGATTAACGACCCATGATAAAGAAAACAATCAAAAGCTCTACTTACTTCAGCTGAATTTCTGTAAAAACTAAAAATCCGTCACTAGCCCTACTTTAAATTAATATCACAGTCACTGAAACTCGTCTCACAACGCCAATGAGATCGCGACTCGTATCCTGAAAAAAATTTCAGTCCTTGCATCCTGCGTATGCCGTTATCCACGAACTGACGGTCCTGACAACATCTGCGGTTGATAAACTCAAGCTGAAAACGCAGCGCAAGCGTAGCCAATCCTGAAATTTTCTGAAAGTTTTAGTCCAGGACGTCTGGCTTGTTTTACACATACTAATAACGTCCTTCAGGATGCGCCTTATTTAGACGGAATAATACGACGTGACGGGACTCTACATGGGCTATTTGCAGAGAAAAATTGAGACGTTAAGGCGATTAAGTGATTAGGCTTATGTAACACCTGTTGAATCGGAGTTTCACAACCTGACGCTTCAACTATTTCCTATTTTATTATTTTGCGACAAATCTGAAAAAAGTTCGCTTAGACGGTTCACTGCTTTCAATACAACTTATCACAAAAGTATACAAATATTTACTCCGAAAATATTAGTATTAAATTGCGCTGAAAGCTAGTTTTAACGTAAATTTTTAATTAATTTCTACGCACAATTAGTAACAAATTTCTACATAATCAAAATATTGCAACTTCCAAAAAATACGTGTATTGATTTTTTTTTAAACATTTATAGGCTTACAAGGACTTTTTCATTTTCCTGAGTAAATATTTCATCGTCAAAGGAGTCCTGTGTAAATAAAATAAAATAATAAAATTTCGTTTACTAACACATCAGAAAAGAGATGAAAAAATAAAAAAAAGGGAAATAATGTTTACCTTCTTGAGTCTTGCACATTTCTATAATCAAGTAATTAAATTAAGTGTAATTCAACAAAAAAAATATTAAAAATGCAAACTAAAAAAAGAATTTAAAGTTTTTGAAATAAAAACATGTGCAATATAAAAAACACAAAAATTATAAGAGGAAACGAAAAAGCTGTAACGTAATTTGTTTAACGATATTTGTGGCTTTTATTGGTAAAGTTTTTGTACTTTTACTGAATAATTATGAAATAGTTATTTATGGTATAAATGGGTTATGTTAGATATCACCTACGAGAGGTTTGTGTAACCTACGAGGGCTTGCCCGAGTAGGTAATATCTAATAACCCACGTATGCCATACAACGTTTTATCCAATATTCTCGGATTTTTATCTATTAAATCTGTTAAAAATAATCTGACGTTTCGTATTGAGAAGTCCCAAACAGTTGTCAAAACTTCCTTATGCGGGAGAAAAACCGTAAATTTTGACAGTGTCGGAGAATAAACAAATTTTCCACTGATTTGCCAGGTTGGCTTTGCTTTTTATCTTAAAATTTCATCAAATTTTAACCAAAACATTTGTACAAGTGCAAGTCGTTGAGTCCAGAGAGATTCCTGAAATTCATTTTCATGGTACACTTTCAAATGTTCATTTCTATTTTGGAAAGAAATTTGAAACATAATTTCAATTTTGATGTACCTATTCTTAAATAAAGTGTTCAGAATATCTATTAAAATTTTATTTCATCCTGCGATTGGTTATGGATGGCAATAACCCACGGTACTAATGGCAACGTGGGTTATATCAAACGGTCTAGTCACTGCACAGTTTACTTAACAAAAACTAACAAGTAAAACACTATATTACTATTGAATAATGGATAAAAGCATATACAAGGTCATGGGTACGAATAAATAGACATAAAAAAATAAAATGTCAAAATTTTTTGACAATTTTTAATAGTTTTTTATTGTAAGAGTGTGTTAGGTAGCGTTTTATCCACGCAAGAATTTTCTTAAGTGAATAAAACGCGATTAACACACGACTGCAATATAACGTTTTATCCACAATGACAGACCCAAATTATTCTAAACTTAATTAAAAACTAAACTGACATTTAAACGTCACGCCAAATGTGCTTTCGGTTAAACGTAGTAAGCTGTTACGCGGTGTGCTGGTTACTAACAGTGGAATAAAGTTACTTTATTCCACTAGTGGATAAAGTGGTACTTAATACGCATCTAAAGTGTGGAATAAAGTCTCTTTATAGAGTGATTGTGGATAAAATATTTTTTCGATGTTCCTGGTATTTTATTTTACTTGGTATTTTTTTCTAGGGCACGAGTTGTAAAACATCTGTAAATAAAAAAATATATTCTTATGTAGGTTGCCACCTAAAAAGTTAATTATCGTTATAATATTTGTCAAAGTTCTCAAAATTGACGTCTCTGACTGTCAAATTCAAATTCTTGGTTATCTATGTTTTGCTTATTTCGTTGACATTGTCAGTGCCATCTTAACAATTACTAATAAATTAAGAAAACAACACCCTGCATGTCCAAATTCTTGATACCATTTTCAAAAAAAAAGAATATATATATAAGAATGGTTGGGAGGGACATTTACAATCTTTTTTCTGAAAATAATATTTCATCATAAAAGGAATCCTATGTAAATAAAATAAAACAATAAAATTTCGTTTATTATAACATCAGAAAGAGATAGGAAAATAAAAAAAGGAAAATTATTAATAAATGTTTTTTCTTGAGTTTTGCACATTTCTATAATCCACTAATTAAACTAATTTAGCAGTTAAATAATAAATATAGTAATTTAAAAAATATAATTTAAAATACAGGGTGTGCCAGAACAAATCGATTGAACGCATCACAAATTGCCTTATTTCAGCCTTTACTTACTTTAATTTCGAATTATTTCTATAATAAAATCGAGCAAAATTGAATTGAAAATAGCTCAAATTGCTTTATTTTGGAAAAAAACTCTTATTGAAGTCAATATTTGGTTAAAATACTTTGATTTAGGTTGCCCTCCAGAGAAAAATGCCATGTAAGGTAAGATACCAGAAACATGGAAATAGTTATTTTTGATACAAGGGCGCTTTCAAATTATTTTTCAGGTCTTCAGGTCAGGTCTGAGAAGGAATTTTGCGGCACAAAGCGAAGCTGAGTGCTGCAATGAAGGTCGAAGACCTGAAAAATAAGACAGCGCACGTGTATCGAACAACATTTTTTATGATCGTCGGCGAAATTTTATAAAAAACGTGAATTTCTTGAAAATTTTGAGGTTAATTTTGACACACGTCAAATGAAATATGTAGTTATAAAATGTATAATGTATGTACAGTGCCATCAAAAAGTCTTTCTATCAAGTAGGCGTCCTAGTTGAGGACGTATGTTGCATGGCAGTTCGTATATTATCTAGATGACAAAAAATTATTTTATAAAAATTAAAACATTGAGCTAATTAAATTGCATTATTCTATGAAACGTCTCAAAACAAACTAAAATAAGATTTTGTTGATGTTTATTCATAAAAATCGTTCACCACGGTTTCCTGTCATAATTTACATAAAAATTATTTTGACATTTCTCGTTTGTCATTGTGACATTTTATCTTCCACAGACATAGGTACGTTTTAAATTTCTACGCTTGCTTGATAGACAGACTTTTTGATCTCACTGTATTTAATTATATACCACTTTATACCTTAAGGGAACGATCATCAAAAAAATATTTCAAAAATTCTACCTAAATCTATAAGAATTTCAAAGTGAGAGTTTAAATTTTGCAATCTGACTATTTATTGCTGTTGAAAAAATAATTTTCCATTTTTTTTGCTACAGGCTATTAGAAGAGAAAACAAGGAAGCTGTATCGTAAATTGAAACTCTGTTTAATGTTATTTGTGGTTTTTATTGGCAAAATTTTTGTACCTTTACTAAATAATTATAAAAAAACATACAAGATCATCAGTATCATTAAAAAGATATAAAAATGTCAAATGTCAAAAAATAAATGTCGAAATTTTTGACAGATAGAATTTTTTAAACATTATTTCCATGTTCCTGGTATCTTATCTTACTAGAGAGCGAGTTCTGTCACACCCTGTATAAAAACCCAATTTTCAAAACAAAAAATAAAGTTATTGTTTTCTTGGAAGTGAGGGACAAGCATTTTTTTAATATAGCCCTGAATGAGTCATTATTTTATCGTGGAAGCAGAAATTTTATATAAATAACATAATACTACATTAGAAAAGAGATGAAAAAATTTACAAAAAGAAAAACAATAAATGTTTTTTTTCTTAAGTTTTGCACATTTCATTAAATTAAATTAGGTAAATGTAATTTAGTAATTTAAAATAAAAAAATATATAATTTAGAATTTCTAAACTAAAAATATACAGAATGTCAGAAAATACCAGAAAAATGTATTCTTAGTAGGTTACCCAAAAAAAGATAACTATTCCTATAGGAATGAATTGTCATTAACTGTCACAATATTTGTCAAAAACGTCAGAATTTGACGTTTCTGACTGTCAAATTCAAATTTTTGATTATATTTTCATTGACATTGTGATTTTCTCCTATAATGACATAAAAATGAGACACCCTGTATGCATAAAAAGTGTCCAAATACTTGACCCCATTTTCAAGTAGTTATCATTTTTACACTCCTTATCAATTAAAACTATTTGACTCATTATTGTGTTAGTTTAATTGTTGGAATTGCAAAATTTTTGTAATAATTTTTACTGATGACTAAATTTTTACTCCACAACCTCAGACTTTATCTCGAAATTGAAATATTAAATATCCATTGCGTCGTAATCATTATTTTCACACTTGTAATATTAAGTAGCTGAAAATTAATGTCCAATCTTAGAGCAGGAAATCTGCGATTAATATTCCCCGCAGGAATATCTAAATTAAGACGGCGCGACGAATAATAACTTAATTTTTCGTCTCTCTTATACGAAATGAAAAATATAAGTTTGTTAATGTCGAGTCTTGATGTTCTTGTATTTTTCAGTTGTTTAACTTGCGCTGCCTAACTTGTTCAACTGCATTACTGTTCAAGTTCTATTTGAAATTAAATTTCTTTCAAGGGTGGTATTTAGTGTTTATTCAACTTGGCTGCGGTAATATCGCTTTGTGGGAGTCGTTTCCGATTCCAATTCATTAAGAAAAGTGAATCCAGTAGTTCCAACTTTGATTAAATTCAAGAAAGCAAGCAGTGTATCAAACTAATTCATATTTGGTAATCTTGTTTCGTTTTAATTAAATGAGAATAAGATCTCAAACGAGTCCAATAAACAACAACATTATGATTTTATCGAGACTTATAAATTTCGGGGGTTGGAGTGACCTCGTTTCCTTATGACATTAATGTATTAATTGTGATAGTACAATAATCACGCAACGCTTCTCGAAATTGTCCCAACTTTATTCTGCAAGTAATTGAATTGGGGCACGTGAATAAAGACGCAATTGTTTCATTTTCTACAAATGCAAGCGAGAGTTTCGAATATTTTATTTAGTAATCGTACGAGGAGTTTTAAATCGGGCTAATACTGTGTTTTCGTTTCGATATCAAAAGTAGACTTCAAACGGGCGCTGGCAACCCAGATGGCCCGAACAAGACTCCTTGTTTTCTCTAATAGCATCATCAATAAAAGTTGGCTTTTTGGTAAACTTTGATGTTTGCATTTTAGACTGAAATTACTTAAAGCAAACACTGAGTATTTTTGGACCCGCAGGCTTTTTGCAGCCTGTCACGTATACACGCTTCGCAAATAGTCGCGCATTTTTTCCAAAAATAAGCCACAAAAGGCCATTGGCAACACTGAATCATGGCTGATTTGTTATACGATGACTGATTTTTATTCTCTAGTTAGCAGCAAATTTTAAATCTTAGTTTGGCAACCTTGATTGTCAAACTCACGTCAAACTTTTCGTTTGCGACGGGCAACCAGTGATGCCAGATTGGGGAATTTATCTCTAGTTCTAAGCATTTTTTTTTTAATATTGGAAAAAAGATATATTTTTTCAATAATCTAATTATTTAATAATAATAGGTAATATGTACAGTTGGAGACAAAATACTTTGGTCGTCACTTTTCTGACATTTTAATGTAATTCAAGCTTTAACGTTAAAATGAATGACAATTTCAAATTAATTACAGCTATATTTTCCTATCAAAAATATGTACATACAACTTGTCAACTATGATTGACAGTAGATAAAAATAAGGTTAACAGTCCTAAAGCATGCTTTACAATTTAATGTCACTTAAGTGACATTGACGACCAAACTATTTTGTCTCCAACTGTATAAACTGTGTCAATTTTAAAACTTCTCTCAACTGAAAAAGTTATTAATAATCACTCAAAACCGTTTTGATGGTTCCTAGGGGGAATTAAAATGACATGATAAGTGACACCCAACCTTGAATATAGTAAAAAAAAATAAAAATTTAACGCCTTCGTTTTTGAATAATTGGAAAAATGGCTTTACCAAATAGGCTGTTGTATGACATTTTTGAAAAGCGCTTGTTATAGGCTTTCCAACGATGTACCGCAAGTAGGGTCGTGCCATTTTAAATTTTCAACTGAAAGTGGCTGTGGCTTGAAGGGTGGGTGGAGGAGCGTCACTTACAATGCCATTTTGATTCCCCCTAAAAACCACCGAAACGGTTTTGAGTGATTCTCAATAACTTTTTTAGTTCTAGAAATATTGCTGATTGCAAGTTTTAAAATTGACACCCTGTATGTACCAGGTGAACCAAACGTTTTTTGCTTAAAGTATTAATTTTTTGGAAAAACTAATTGATAAACGATAAAGTACTTTAAAGATGTGATGTCTTATCAAGAATAAAATTTTTCGAAATTTTCTTTTGTTTTTGAGTTCTATAAAAAAAATTATTTTTTTAAATAGTAACCCACTATAAAACTATTTTTCTCATAAAGGCTATGATCTAAGGATTACAACTATCTACTTCATATTTAATTAAAAATTTTTTTTTTTTATAAATTGCAATTTTGTCTAAAAAAATCGCATAATTCAAAAACAAGACAAAATTTCGTTCTCAAAATTCGATCTCATTTTTTATATTAGGTTAATTTATATTAATTATTATTTTCTGAAGACCGCTTGGTTCCATACTTTATATTCACCCTGTATGTAAAATGCATGTAAAATGCTTGCCAATCATGGATTTTAAAATATTTGAAACAATTCTAGCGAAGAATCTTGTCTAAATAGAAAAAACAAGGCCATCTGAATCAAAAAGCTGCGCTTATAAGGCCGTTTCATTCTCCATGATAACTGTTTCTGCAAAGTGACCATAAAAACAAAAAAGACAGACCCTTATTGTGCGCCCTCGGTGGTCGATTAACGAACAAACATTGGTGGCAATTTAAAACAATATCCTTCAATTTTACAAAATAATGGTATAAAATGGTAAAAACCGTGTTTCATTTGTGGGGTAAAAAATGTTCGATTATTTGAAATTCTGAGCAATATGTAACAAAGGCAAAAATGGTGCCAAACTTTTGAAACGTTTTGCGGTAAGCAAATTTATGCAGACAATGATAAGGACAACCTTTTACTTTGTTTTTGTAATTTTAAAGACACTAGAAAAATTACGGATTACTCAACAAACAAACAAACCACTTTGCAGAAAAATATTGAAGTTATAAATTGTTCTAACCTACCTCGTGTTATGATTTCATGTTTTATTGTAATTCTAATTTATTAGTATTTTGCTAGTCCAGAATGTACCTAAAATAAGCTCGGATCTTGGATAATTTATAGCATTCATGTTTTAATTGATGTTTTAAGTACTTAACCTAAAAATAAAAAGTCTAAAAAGTCTCAATCGACTGCGATGGAAATCGGTAGATGGAGCGCAATAAGGTACTGACGCCCGAAATGTCACAGAAACAAAGTTTATATGGAAAAATCGAAAATTGAAACGGCCTTATAACCGTAGCTTTTGATTCAGATGGCCTTGAGAAAAAATACCAATATGCGCCATCTCTTAATGAATGGAAACATTATACAAACTTAAATTTTTAATTTTACAGGTCTTTTACAATTTTTAAAATTATTTAATATTTATTTAATAGTAATAATATTAATATTTATTTAATAATATTTGTTTTTCTCCGGAAACACCTTTAAAAAATGTAGCATTTTCATTTAGTTTAGGGAGTTCTTGGGAATTTTGACGCTCCAATCTAGGAACAACCGTTTGATCTCGTCTGGCATCACTGCGGGCAACATTGTCTTAGTCATCACTAAAACACAGGTTGCCAACCCAAAAAAAATAAGATTTTTTCACCCGCAGATTACAAAATGATGATTTAAATTTTTCTAATATATACATACAAGGTGATTCACGAGGAATAATGAGACTGCCCAAATTCTCGATGCAACCACCATTACTTTTCGCAAATTGCTTTGCGACAAATGTAATGTTGGTTGCATCGAGAATTTGGTAAGGCTCATTATTCCTCATAAATCACCCTGTACTGTTGAAGGAAAAAGGAAGGCCTAATTGTGTAAATTTTGCGAAATATTTACGTCAACAAACTGAGATTTTAGTACAAAAACGTGTTTATAAAGACTTGAAAAAAAGTAAAGTAACACTATTTTCGACTTATTTTTTAACTGTATAACACAAACTAGTTTTTTTTAATTTAGTTTAGGGAATTCTAGAGAATTTTGACGCTACAGTCTAGTTACAAGCGTTTCACCTCATCTGGCATCACTGGGGGCAACGGCTTAGCCGTCACTTGAAACACAATATTGTGCTGGTAACCAGCCAAAAAAAAAAAAAAAACAAAATTCACGAAATCTGAGCTGAAATTTACACCTCTTTTCACTAGATTGCAAAATTATGATTTAAATTTTTCTAATACTGTTGAAGGATTAAGCTTTTTACAAAAATCTTGCAAATCTGCTCAAAAACACGCTTAAACGCTCGAAAAGGGCAAAAAAATCTGTTTTTGGTCTAATTCTCTCAATTTTTGGCTTGTTTATAACAAAATTTTGAAAAATATTTACGTTTTTACCTGAAAAAATTGCTGAAGACTTAAAAAAGGCAGAAATAATAACTTGATTTTGTGTTTTTTAATTTGTTTTGGCAAAATCTCGTAAAAAAAACTGAGACTTAAACGTGCTTAAAAGATGCAAATGATAAATTACACACTATTTTCGACTAAATTTGCAAACGAAATAGCACAAATTTATATTAATTTTTGTAATTTTAGACATATTTTGACAAAATCTTGTAAATAAAAAATTCCTAGTTCAAAAACGAGCTAAATCGAGCAAACCAAGGTAAAATTTCACCAATTTTAATCTAAATTGTTAAGCCTTTAAACAAGTTTAGCGAAATATTTCGAAAACATTATTTAAAAAAMGTGCTTAATAGTTATTTATTCGACGAGTTTGAGTGTAAATCGAACGGATTATTTCACCGAGTGGGTTATTAAACCACGAGTGGTTTATCATCCACGAGGTGGAATAAAGCGTCCCATTTACACTCAAACGAGTTGAATACAACATTTTATTCTTCGAATTAGACTCAATAAGGTTTAAATTTGCTTTAAATCTGTTAAAAATAATCTGACGTTTCGTATTGAGAAATGCCAAACAGTTGTCAAAACTTCCTTACACGGGAGAAAAACCGTAAATTTTGACAGTGTCGAAGAATAAACACTTTAAACATACAAAAATAACACAATTTTTAATAAATTTTCGGCTTGTTTTTAACGAAATTTTGCAAAATTGTTGTTTCTGACTTAAAAACGTACTAGAACGCCCCGACAGAGCTAAAATAATATGCTTTTTGACTCAATTTAGTGGTCTTTGACTCTGTTGGGTGAAGTCTCATAAGACATACATAAAACCTTGTGAGGTGATTTTTCACTAGACTAGCATAAAAATCACCATAATTTAATACCAACTTAAAGATAAAAAGCAGTCATTTAGAGACACACGGTACTTAGTTATGGCAATGGAGCGTAGTGAAACTTTCTCAAATTTTTATTGCATCACTCATTTAAAATAGAAAAAAAAAACACAATTATTACTAAACTACTTTATTATGTACATAATATGTACACGCACAATAGATATAAAACATATATCACAGAGCTATAATAAGTTTTAGGGACAAAACCAAAAATTGAATAGTGACATTTTTGTTCTTAGGGTAATACTACGCATTCGTTTATTTCTTATGGCAATAAATTAAGTATGGAGATGTAGAAACATTCATCATTTATAAAAATAAATTAATTCGTAAAAATGCATTCTTTCAAACTGTAAAAACCTCGATTTTTACTCCCCCAAATTGGGGTCGAAAAATAGGGCAGAAAGGGCAAAGAGAAGGAACACAACACCACCAATTATCGTCACTGGAATGAAAAAAAATAATATTTTTTTACAATTTCACTATTATTGAAATACCTGTCCTGACTGAAATTCTTTGCGCAATCATCCTCCCCCCTAACACAGCCAAGCCAGTACAAATAGAGTGTCCCAAAACCCCCCCAATAATAACCCCATAAACATCCTAGAAGAATTCTTCAACACAAGAAATGACACAAATAATTAATACTTCTCTGGCCCCTAAAATAATCGTTGTGAGTTGCGAGCGGTCTCCCCACTCGGCTAGAAACGTTAAAGTGAACGACTGCAAAAAAATCCGCGATATCAGCGAAAAAATGCTATCACTTTTGGGCTTTCGAGGGGCGCCTGATTCGGGGTCAGGCAACATGGCTTGTTTCTCGTACTACAAGTCAAATTTAAGATTTTGTCAAACTGTTGATTCCTTCACCTCTTCCTCTTTCTTTCGCAAGTCCGATTGGACTTCTTCCAGTTCTTCTTGGCCTTCACCTGGAGACATTGCGCAGCCCTCTTTCAGCATTTTCAGCCCGAAAATTGCAAACAAAGCTGTGCTGATGTAGAAAGTGTAGGCGCGGGGAATGACGTTCGCCAGCCACCCAAACAGGGCTAATAAATAGGAGAAAAAACTGTTATCTGTTTGTTTTCTTATCGGTTTTATCTTGATTCATTGTCCTAGTTGTGTGAATTCCTACCTGACAAGACTGTCATTAAAGCTAGAGCTGAAATGGCCCCCGCGAAGACCGTTGTTCTGGGGTGCCTCATTGCCATGATAGCGGCTATAAAAAATGTCTTATCGCCGATCTCTGACACGAGAATCACAGAAAACGAGGCAACAAATGCGTGAATAAAGCCGAAATTTTCCACAGCGATGATCTTTCCGGGCCCATCATCAGACGAGGCTGCGCTCTAATAGAAATAATTTCATTGACATAACCTCACTTTGGGGTACTTACAGGGATGCCATTGGCTTCGGGGCTCTCCTCCTTGGGCTCCAACTCCGCATAAATTGTTCTTAAGTACACTAAACATAAAACAGACGCTACCCAAGTTGGGTTTGTTAAAGAGATTAATTTGCCCTTCATTGTAAAATACTTTCGCTAATAAAAAAATATAGAAATTGTTAGTTTCTGGTAGAAATTACATTCATTATGAGAAATTAATGGCAAGTTGGGTTTTAATTGTTAAAAAATAAATAAACTCATCACACAACCCACACGCAACGGCGGTTATTTGACAACTGTCAAATTACAGGTTGGCAAATATTCGGATGTGTCTAAAGCCACAAACCACAAATCCTAAAATTTGAATATTAACCAGACGCACTACGCTTAATCTTAATTAAATTTATTACTATAATTAATGGCACTGACAAGTTTGTAGAATTAAAGTTGCAACTTAAAAATCCTGACTTAGCATTGTAGTGGTTAAGGCCACATGCTTGAATGAAATGGAGCGAAAATTAAATTTTGGTTGAAAGTGAGACATTTTTACGCGGAAGTCTCCGCTTTGTGCAACCTACAATTTTCTAAATGTGTATCATCTTATCAAAATATGGAAAGTTTGAAACTGGGTGTTTATTTGATGCATTTGGCGACAATTATGTAACAACTCATAATTGCATGTTTCAAACAGTATAAAATATAGTCAAATCTGGATAAAAGTATCAGTTTTCATTCAAATATATTACAATGAACCTCAAAATATTGTTTTTACTGCTTGTGGTAGCTGTGTGTGAGTCGTTTTTTCTTCAAAGTAAAGATATAAAAAGGATGTTGCGGTACTTCCCCAAAGCTTTTGATATTGAAACGACACGAAGTCGGCCTCTTCGAACCCGGCAACCAATCCACCATGATTACATCGATACTTACGATAGGCAAGATAATGAAGAACCCTTCAAATACAGAAATTCGAAAGGGAGAAACAGACGACCAAATTACCATCACTGTGACCATCCTGACCATTACCATCACCACCCAGAAGACCGATTACAAACCCATCGCAACAAAAATACGAAAATTGAAGGCATTGAAGATTATGGCAATGAGAAGAAGAAATATAAAAAGAAAATAAACTTGAAAGAAGAAATAGAAAACACTGAAGATGAAAATGATAAAAAAGATTACATAACTGGAGTTTTAGTGACAATTCCAAAAATTAACAACGGTGAGGAGGCAGAAACTTATCTGAAAAGTGGTAAACACAATGTGTTCTTCCAAAAACCGTTAAAGACTGAACTCGACGACTATCATCATCACCACATTCCAGGCGACGACGATATCGACCCGTATTTTTATTAACTGTGTAATCAAATGTACTGATGAATAAATAAAGTCAATTTTTACCACACTTTTTTTCTTGAAGCGGGAATAATTCAAACAGACAGTGCCGCCAACAAGTAGCCACTACATTACTAAAATTTGACATCGCATTGTGACAATGCTTATTTGCTGTTTTCCAATATCAACTTTATTTAAAATAATAGAAAATTAAAATCCCATTGTGTACAATTAAAGTTTTAAATCACGTTTTTTTCTTGAAGCAAAACTGATTTATATTTGAATCAGTGCTGCCAACGGTTAACCGCTACGTTACTAGAATTTGACATCATTTTTTGACAGTGCTTATTCACTATTTTCCGACTTTAAATTTCTTTAAAATGGTAAGAAAAATTGAAATGATTTGAAATAACTAACTGGAGCCATTTCAGAGTTTCGCCCTTCCGTCAATCAAGTCAAAACCGGGCCAACCAGAAGATTTTGGTATCAATGAGGGCAAATTTGGGGTCCCTGAGGCTCTTACTGGTGGCTTGTCCTCTGTTAGGGCTAGTCTCGACGTGCCTCATCCCCTCATGTTGTCAGAATTAAATGTAAGAAGGTTATTGTGCACTTCAACCATTGAGTTTTTGTTTCAGTATCGAAAAAATGTGGATAAAATGAACATGACAATATTGAGAAATACACAAGGTTTGCATGCCCCTCTCAGGATTGCATTGGAGCAGAAAGCGGTGAAAAAAGGGGGGCATTTGCCGTTTTTGCCCTCACATAACGTCTTACACGAGTCTTTAACCGGTCGTGACATTGAAATGGACGGTAGTGATGTTTTTAACACTCCTGAATTTATGGAAGTTGCTGGATTACCACATGCAGTCATGGAAAAATCTTTGGGGATTTTGTAGTTAAACAGTTTTTTTTTAATAAAATATATTTACTAATAAATGAATAAAAATTAAGGCCCTCGTTCTGGTGGTATTACAATTTTGGTCCACTCTAGTAATTTCTCGAGTTCATTTTTTTTCAATTCGTGTAAAGTATTAGTCAGTGGTATAAATTCCCCTTTTACTCCTAACTTTGTAAGATTATTGAAAGTCTCCTCGCCCCATTCTAGGGGCACCAGTTCGTCCCTATCTCCATGACACATGAAAAGTGGAGTATCAACAGCTTGAATGGTTTTATAAACTTCAGATTCGTTATTTAGAAACGACGATAAAGCGAAGACGCCCCCCAACCCTGGAGTGAACCGATAGGCAGTGTGCAAGGCCAAAGCGCCCCCCATTGAAAACCCCCCAACTACAATTCGATTCAGGGGGATCCCAGCGTCAACCTCTTCTGAAATCAATGATTTAATATCGTGTTTGATGTCATCTAAAGTCTCGACGTGTTCAGGGACATCGGGTGTGATATCATACCGATTAAACCACACATTACTTAACTAAAAAATAAATTGAGGTCATTTATTTTAATGTTTGACTGTCGTACGGCTCCATCTAATGGTGTGTAAGGTCTCAGAGGAGCTGTAGGAAAAATAAATTTGATGTGAGGTAGGGAGAAATCCCTGATTAGGAATTTGATCCAGTCGAGAATTCCTTTACCAGTGTCTCCTGAAAAAATGTGATAAAAAAATGCAATACAAGGTAACCTCTCACCTGACCCATGTAAAAAGATGACAGAACCGGTGTGGCTGGAATTTGTTGGTTTTATGATACGCAAGGGTTTTATTCGAGACATTATTTGGTTGTTTAATTTACTTTAAGCAAATGATTGATGTATAAAGTGATAAAAAGTCATCGAATATAGACTAACTAATAAACACATGTGGATTGTTGGTTGCCTGCTCTCTTCTTAAAAAAAATATTTTATTCTTCTAAAAATATCACTTATTGTATTTTGTTGATTTTAAGATGCACAAGGATTTTACTTGAGACATTTTTAATTGACTTGGTTGTTTAATTTACTGCTATATTATTAATGGCTCATTATCAAAGAAGCTAACAACTAAACACATCCGTTGTATTGTTGGTTGCGCGTCTTTTTTTGTTTTTTTTTTACTAAAAATATTGCTTATTTTATTTTGTTTCTTAAAGCAAAATATTTAAACAACTTTATTGTTTAACACATTAAAGGTATTTATTCGCACAACTAAACTTTTTTTTAAATAAAGTAAGATTTTTTTTGAAATATATTTTTCCTTTCGACTTTTTTTTACTATTTCCATGTCTATTTACTTTCTTTTGTCTACTTTAAAGTGCAAAAATATTTAGAATTTTATATAATAATAAATAATAATTTCATATTTATAGGTCTAACCTTACAGTTTGTATTCAATGGCGGCATTTCAAAATGCTCTAGAAAAATTCAAATTTGAGCGGGAGAATTGCTCATGACGTGTGATCGGCGTAGTTTTGGACCCTTTTTAAAATAAGATAACCCTACGTTGTGGTTGTTAGTTTATTCGTAATAATCCTTCGTCGTTTCCTCGAAGCACTGAACAAACGGATGGGAGTAAAATTAAATAATCAAGAAATAAAACACTAATGTTTTATTAATATGAAGTATTACCGCTGTAGCCATTTCCCAATCTCGAAGGAGAAAGGAAGAAAAAAACATATATCAAGGACTCTCAATCAATCAAACAATCGCGTCTCGAAACCCTACAACTCCGTCGAGTCGACAATGGTATTGGACCTATGGTCTCTTTAGTGGGCAAAAACCGTCCTTTTTCGACAAGCTCCTCTTTTGTGCCCTGTGTACGTGGAAGCGTTATTACTTATCAGCTACCGGGACTTTGCTGATATGATTGCCCAATTAAAGGGGAGTAAAGAACAGTAAAAGACAGAACGCAATGCGGCATGCATGAAACCAGGAGAAGCTACAGAAGTTTTACTTTTCATCTCGCGTTACATAAAACAAACCCGAAAACATAATCTTTTACCAGACGAATTATCCATTTACAAAACTCATGGCAAATTAACAACAATCATGATTATTATGATGAAAACAATATTTTAGGCACAATTTTCACGTAATATCGATACAGAAATTTACGTTTTTGGTGACGTAATTAGTCATACCCCCTGTCGCGTCCGGTCTCATCTTCCTGAGCCCCACGGTCTCCTCTGCAGCCTCCTCCAAGCGACGACGCTTCCTTCTCTTCCTCGATGGAAGTCCCCCGGGTGTAGTCGACATCTCTTCGCCTGCCCAACGACGACTGCCACACCTTCCTTTGTTTTCCCACTTTTCGAAAAACCCAAAAAAAAAACACAAAATCCCCCCTTTCCCACTGTGGCGTGATCCGTCACCGCAGAGTCAAATAAAATTTTCAAAAATGCATAGGCAACACATTTTACCGAATAATTAAATACAAATGGTACGGTTACATAGGTATTATTTGTGCAAATAAGTTGTTAATTAAGAATTTTGAAATTCTGCTCCTACTAATCGTTACTAGAATCACTGCGAACAAAATTGAAATATTTTTTTTATTTGTAAACATCATCACTGCAATTTCGTATTATTATTACATCATTATTGAACGTTAAAATTTTGCTGTCAATACCATTTTTTTTAGTTTTTAATTATTTTTAATATTTTATTTTTTTCTAATTACTAAAGTAAATTTTATCTAAAACGTTTTGTATTTATTTGGTTGCTTAATTTACTTTAAGTTAATAGCGTTGCATAAAATGATAAAAAGTTATCAAGTATAGTCCAACACACAGGTTATTCACGAAAGGGTTATTTCTAAAAAAAWTTGCCGCAACCAACAATACCAAAATCACTAACTGCTAAATTAAATAGATATATTATTTCTTTTAAATTAGAAATCAAAAAAGTAATTTGGATAGATTTGCGAGAAATGTCAGATTGACAGATGATCTGTATTTAATCAGAATTCACAAATAAATTAACAAGTTAAGTCAATGTAAAAGCTGTTTGAAATGTCTACCATCGGCTTCTAAACATGCACCTAGGTTGATAAATGATAACAAAACATGTCGCATCGTTTCAGAGTTGATTTTTTTGCTTTAATGTCAAAGAGACAAGACTAATAACAGATATCATGGATTCAGTTATACCTAATTATTTTTAAAATTTGAAATCAAGAAATTGTTGCAATATGTGAAATGTGTTACACCAAAAAAAATCAGAAATTATTTTTTTGTAATAGCCCTGTATATGTATTAACGCATTTGGTGTATTGCTGGCTGCCTGCCCTTTTAGAAAAAATATGTTTTACTATAAATATTACTTATTTTATTTTATTTTATTTCTTAAAGCAAGATATTAAAACAATTTTAACAAATTGCAGTTATTCACCGGTACGGCAGGAAAACTTTTTTTAAAAATCCGTAAATAGTTATTTTATTACAAGTACCTAAAATACAGTTTTTGCGGACGAATCGTTGTTGTTTGCGGACGAAGTGAAACCGAGTCTGGAATAGCAGATGAGTCCGTAAAAACGTTTTAGATACGTGTTACAAATAACATATTTTTCTTAATGCTCCCAAAACAGGAATTCACAACTCTTATTAATTAAAAAAAAATTCGTCACCATAGTAACCAATTTTATTGTTTAGTCCAGAAAAATTGTTTTTGGGACTGAGTACCTGAAATAATCATCCTTAAAACAGCTGTTGTCGGGATCTATAAAAAAATATTTTTTTATAATTATTTTCTATTTGGTTATTTTTCACTTTTTAAATGCTTCTTTACTTTTTTTGTTTACTTTAAAATCCAGAAAAATGTAAAATTCTAAACAATAATTTGCTATCTGTCTTGGTAAATATTTGTGCAAATATTTAACTATAAGAATTTTGAAATTCTGCTGTTATTTTAACATTGTAAAGAGAATTATTACGCACAAAATTTAAATTATTCATTTATTTACAAACATCGTCATTGTCAATTTTAAATTATTAATATCCAAACGCAATTTTATTTCTATTTACATTATTCTGAGTATTAAATAAATTATACAAACGTAAAAATGAAGTCAAAACAACTTTTTTAGTCTTTATTCATTTTTGAGACTTTATTTATTGATAACTTTGTTAATTAGTTACCGAAAAAGTATGTATGTTTTTTGTTATTTGCTGCACGGATCGTCGACCGGCATATATTCCTCAATGAGAGACATAAATTTATCAAATTCACAAAACGTCTCACAAGCTGGCAATTTCATCAGTTTGGGTCCACCTCCGGTATAATTCTCATAATAAATCTAAAATCAGTGAAATCCCAACTAGGAACAATTAAGTCTATTATACCTACCTTAATCCCGTATTTGTCCCCAACTCGATGCACTTCGAAAGTGAGATAAGAGCCGTAATCCGGGATGTGCAGCGGTTCAAAAATCCCAAGAAGGATTAACAATTCCGCGATGTTATTCTCGTGAGCGGAATACAAATAAATTTTTCGCTCGTTGCCAGTTTGAATTTTTTTCTTCGTATCCGTGATGATTTTTTGCAAGAAATAACCAGAAGCCATCCGATTCAGCTCTGTTGTGGCCGTTGACGCGAAATATTCTTCGATACTTAAATCGATTATTGTTTTCGGCCACACCGACTTTGTCCATTCGGGCAACTTAAAACCCCATTCTTCCTAAATTGACACGATTTTTTTTCATCAATTGGGAAAAATACCAACCTCTGTGGCCAACCCGAAGTAGAGATTATAAACATCGAGGAATTTCGTAACATTGAGACCTGTATTATTCGAAATGTAGGCGAATATTTCTCGATTTTTCCGAACTTTGGTTTGATAATTCCGAGATTCTACCACTTGATCGTACAATTTTAAATAATACGGACAAGTCACCCCCAATAAAACCTAAATCAAACTATTAAATTTTAATTTTAGTTGTTGAAAATACCTTATCGTCGGCTCTCTGGTGATAATTGTATGGAATGGGATGCCAAGGCAAGTCCTGGTTCCAAGTTTCCTCTTTTTGGGGCGGAAACAACCCCGCAAAAACCAATTCTAGGGACATTTTAGTCCTGTTATAATCAGTGCTCCAACCCTCGACCAATTCAGGGTGGTAGTAACCCCCCAGGAAATTATCATACCGCTTTCGCAATGCTTTACCAACTGAGTATTCTCTCACTTTCCCCGCCTAACAAAAATCAATCAAAAATTTGTTTTTTTGAGAAAAACCGAGAGGCCGTTAACATGAAAAATATTCCAATTCCAAAAAAATTACACCGAAATTACAGTAATTCCAATGATCCATCGTAATTCCATTGGTTTCAGTTTATATCCTATAATTCCAACTTAAATTCCGTAATTCCAAAATAATTCTTGTAATTTCAAATCAATTCCGATAGTTCCAAAATAGCAATTTTTAAAAAATTTCTATGACAATTATACAAAAAATTGTAGTAGTTTCAAAAAATTTCCAGTAATAATTTGCAGATAATTCCAGTACCAAAATTTCAGTAATTTTAATAATCCAGCGTAATTTCATTGCTTACATAAATTAATTTATATAATTCCAAATTAATTTCTGTAATTCCAGGATAATTTTAGAAAACTTAATAAGTCCAGTAATTTCAAACAATTCAAAAATAATTTTAATAATTCCAAGCAATTTTGATAAAATTTCAAAAGTTTGTACAAATAATTCTAGAGTTAACGGTTCCTCGAGGCCGTTAACTTGAAAAAAATCTGTACAAMTAATTCCATTTATAAAAAAAATTCTACCAAAATGACAGTAATGCTAATAATCCATCGTAATTGCATTGTTTTAAAATTCTTATAATTCCAAAATAATTCCTGAAATTTTAACTTAAATTCGGTAATTCCAAAATAATTTCGATAGTTCTAAGAAATTATAATTATAAAAATTATATAAACAATTTTAGTGCTTTCAAAAATAATTGCTGAAATTTTAACTTAATTCTGATAGTTTTAAAAAATTCAGCGTAAGTATGAAAAAAATTATTTCCCGTAATTTCAGAAAAAGTTCTAGTAATTCCACAAAAACTTCAWTAAATCACAATTAATTCAAACATAATTCAAAGATAATTTTAATAATTCGAGATACTTCTAAAAATAATTTCAAGCAATTTCGATTTAATTTCAAAAATTTCGATAACTAATTACGTTAAAGGTTTACGTTAATGGCTCCTCGAGGCCGTTATTTTGAAAAAAAATATGTACCCACAACTAATTATAAAAAAATACTAAAATTACAATAATTCTAATAATAATTCATCGTAATTTCATTGTTTTTAGATTAATTCTTATAATTCCAAAATAATTCCTGTAATTTTAACTTAAATTCCGTAATTCTAAAATAATTCCGATAGTTCTAAGAAATTCTTTACATAATAAATATAAAAAAATTCCAAAAAAAATTTAAAAAATTTACCGAAATTTTTGTAAACCCTATAATCCAACGTCATTCTATTAGTTCTATATTAGTATAATTCCTATGATTTTAAATTAATTCCTGTAATTCGAACTTAATTTCCGTATGTAATTCCAACTTAATTTTCAAAATTTCGAAATAATTTCTGTAATTTTAAGTTAATTCTGATAATTCTAAAAAATTCAGCGTTATTACTAAAAAAAATTATTTCCGATAATTTCAAAAAGAGTTCTAGTAATTCCACAAAAATTCTAGTAAAAATAATTTAAACATAATTCAAAAATAATTTTAATAATTCCAAATACTTCTAAATAATAATTCCACGTAATTTCGATTAAATTCTAGAGTTAACGACCCTTCGAAAAAACCTACATTTGTAAGTTGTCCTAACCCAAATGGAAAATAAGTCTCGTTCAAATACGGGTCCTTGGGGTACAATTCTTCAGGACCGTTCACAGTTCTGTTACCGTGTCTGAAAATCTACCACCAAAAATGCAATCGATTTTTTATTTAATAATGACTTACGACGTGTAATAACACAAGTGTATCATTRTCTTGAGTCACATTTTCGGTCAGTTGAGAGAAAAATTCGTGTATTAGCAAATAAAAAGACCAGAAAAATAACCGAAACGACTGCATTGAAATTTTGAAAACTACTACTAGTGTAGCAAATAGCGTGTAATGACCATAAAAGTAACTATAAATTGGCTTTATATTTATTGTGTATTATATTTGATAAGATTAATTGTTTTATGCATGTAATATTTATTATTTATGATTTATTCGTTGTCTGTATTTGATTTAAGTTTTTTTTTATCTTGAAACATGATTATCATCTGTCTGGATTTATTTGCTAAGTGTTCAAGCAAAAATTATACAAATATAATTAATCTGCAGCGACACAAAACTAATCCTTCCTTATCGACACTCAAAAAACAAGTGGACAAATTTTATTTATTTATTTTTACAGACATAAGTTAGCATCAGGCATGTATTCTTCAAATAGACTCGCAAATTGATCAATTTTACAAAAACTGTCACAGTGTGGGATTTTCAAGAGTCGTGGTTTACTTTCTTGATAATTTTCGTAAAATATCTGGAACAAATAATTTGATTATTTATTATTTCACTTAAAAAATTCTCACCTTAATCCCGTACTTATTATTCACACTGTGGAGTTCCAAAAGCACGTAGGCCCCATAATTTGGGATATGGGGTGGTTCAAAAACCCCCAACAAAATTAAAAGATTCGCAATGTTGTTCTCGTGGGCCGAATACAAGTAAATTTTTCGGCCGGAATTTGTATTGTTGATTTTTGAGTACGAATCCTGGAGTATTTTTTGCAGAAAATACCCAGCCGACATTTGCATAAGTTCRGTGGTTGCTGTTTGAGTGTAGTACTCGTTTATGGCCAATTCTGTGATGGTTTYAGGCCAAACTTTTTGCGTCCATTCGGGCAATTCGAAACCCCACTCTTCCTGAASCAAATTTCAGAACAAATTTACAAAAATTTCAACTTACTTCAGTCGTCAACCCGAAATATAAGTTGTACACGTCCTCAAATGTTGTAACGTTAAGTCCAGTGTTGTGTGAAATGTAATCTAACACTTCTGTGTAYTTGGAGAGTTTGGACTGTCCTCGTCCAGACTGMACAAATTCGGTGKTTTTTTTTACGAAATTTGGACATGTTGTTCCTTGCAAAACCTAAAATTAAAGTAAAATTGCGTGGTATCTATCGAAAAACAAAAAATACGGTATCAGCGGTTTGGGGGACGTAATTGTAAGGCACTGGTTGCCAGTTTAACCAATAATTCCAGACTTCTTCGCCTCGTGGGGGAAATAACCCTGCAAGGGCGAGTTCCAATGACATTTTAGTCCTGTTAACGTCAGTACTTCTTGCTTCAACAATTTCTGGGTAGTAGTACGGCCCTAAAAACTTATTGTAGCGATTTCGGAGCGCTTTCCCAATCATGAATTCGCGTTTTTTGCCAGCCTGAAACAACCCAATTATTTTTCGTGTCCCAAATGGGAAAAAACTACATTAGTGAGTTGGCCCAACCCGAAGGGAAAGTACTTTTCATTGAGATAAGGGTCTTTGGGGTACAATTCCTCAGGGGATGGGGTTCGGTTCCCGTGTCTGAAAAGCTAAAATTTCAGTAATACCTAATTTTGTACCAAAATTTTATTCGCACTCACAACGTGTACTAGAATTAAACTGTTGTCTTCAATTGGGGCACAAGAGGTTTGAGAATTGAATAAAATTACACACAACGCCACCAAGATCGAGTTAATGTCTTTCATTTTGTGCAGGAACTGGGAGCTAATTAAGATAAATATTAATTAAACTTGATACCTTGAGTGACTTTTTTCGAATGTAGCATTTTGTAATTCACTGAATTTCGTTCAAAATGAGTAATTAAATGTGCTGCACAATATTTATCATCATTTTTAGATAACGTTTCCTTGTTATAATTTAAGTAGTGTATTTAACATATTTTTTTACGTTTTCGAATTATAATTTCCATTTGCAGTTTTTTACTTACTGGAACTGATAAAGTCATTTTGTAGTCAAAGTTATAATTACGTGAATTCCTGTAGGAAATGAATTATTTAGAAATTTTGCATAGTAATGCGCGGATGGATTCTTGGCCGTTATTATGCTAATTTTTACTTTATCTGCAATTTTTACGGAAAATAATTAACAAAATTAACGTTTATTTGCAAATTCATATCAAAACAAAAAAATTACAGGCAAACGAGAAAAAAATAGGCCACTTCTATTAAAAAATGTTTTCAATACATCAAAATCTTTTCCGATAAAATTGTTACATACATTTAAAACACAAATTTGTTATAAGAAACGCGCCTAAACAATTTTCTATCGGAATTAGAAAACAAATAAAAATTTGCAACAATTAATAAAAGGAAATTTTTACCGTTGTTATTTTGAAGAGTACTTCTTGTACACCACTTTTACATACATTCTGAGATCGCTCGTAGGCGTTTCAAGCAAGTTAAGCCATCTGCACTCCACACACAGTAACTTTCGCGATTAATCATTCCGTCTAGTCGAAAATCGGACGCTCTTAATATTTAGTGATTTAAACAACATTCAGATCTGACGTTTTTGAGCTAGAAACTCACCAGTGGAAGAATTTTGGCGAAACTGGACAGGACATTGTTGTTTTTAAGCCAAAAACAAGATTATTTCAATATTATACCAAAAAACAGTGTGTCTGAATTCTCTTAAATCCTTGAAATTTTTGCTAGAGTAGAATATTTTTGAGGACCTGTAGCTTTTATAATTTATTTATTATTTTTACTGTAGAGTTCTTATCACTAATTCTAATTAATAAATTGAACTAAAAACTTAATTATTTCAAGATTATGCCAAAAAATAGCTCAGAAAGCCTGTGTCTACATTCTTGTAAATTTTTGAATTTTTTGCTAAAATAGAACATTTTTTTCTAAATACGTGTAGCTCCTAAAATTTGTTAAATACTTTCACTGTAGAACTCTTAAGTTTATAATTCTAATTAATAAATTAAACTAATAACTAGATTATTTCAAGAATATGCCAAACAAAAAAGTGCAGAAAGTCTGTGTCTAATTTTTTGAAATTTTTGCTAAAGTAATTTTTTTTTGAACATTTGTTGCACTTAAAATTTCTTAAATATTTTCAGTGTTGAACTTTTAACTCTAATTCTAATAACAAATTGAACTAATATTTCGATTATTTCAAGACTATGCCAAAAAAAAAAACAGTTAGAAAGTCTGTCTAAATTCTCAGAAAATTTTAAACTTTTAACTAAAATAGAATTTTTTCTGAACACCTATGTATAGCTCTTAAAATATGTTAAATACTTTTTCTGTAAAACTTTTAACTTTAATTTTAATTAATAAGTAACAGCCCAGAAAGTCTGTGTCTACATTCTTCTAAATTTTTGAAATTTTTGCCAAAATAGAACATTTTGTCTGAACATGTGTAGCTCTTAAAATTTCTTAATTATTTTCACTACATAGATTATAACTCTAATTCTACTTTCTAATTAATAAATTGAACTAAAATTCGATTATTTCAAGATTATGAAAAAAAAAACAGTCCAAAAACACTTGTAGCTCTTAAAATTTGTTAATTATTTCATTGTAGAGCTCTTAAATCTAATTCTAATTAATAAACTGAACCAAAAATTTGATTATTTCAAGATTATGCCGAAAATACAGGCCAAACTAGGATTTTTCCTCTTAAAATTTGCTAATTATTTTTAAGACTTTAAGTTATTAACTTTTAATTCTAAATAATAAATTAAGAAAAAAAATTGATTACATATTTCAAGATCATTTCAAAAAACAGTTCAGAAAGTTTGCGTTTGATTTCTTTTCAATTTCAATTCAATTTTTGAATTTTTTTTCATATTTGGATTTTTTCTAAACACTTGTAGCATTAACTTTTAGTTCTACTTAATAAATTAAGCTAAAACTCGATTATTTTAAGATTTTGTAAAAAAACAGTCCAGAAAGATTGAGTCGAACTCTTCTAAATTATTGAAATTAACATTCTTCTAAACACTTTTAAAATTATTTTTCCAGTAAGCATTAATTAATAATTAATTAATAAATTAAGCTAAAACTGAATTATTCAAGATTATGAGAAAAAAACAGTCGAGACAGTCTGTTTCTGAATTCTCAATATTTCTTTAATTTTTTTTTTGGAATAATTTTTTTTCTGAACACCTGTAGATCTTAAGATGTGCTAATTATTTTTACTGTAAAGTGACTGACCTCTAAAATTTTTTTAACCGTCTAATTTAAATTTCAAATATTTCAATTTATAGTGGAACTTTTTTTATGAAAAGTGGAAAGGGAAATTGAAGGTGTCAAGTAGTGTCAAAATTATTTATTGGCGATGGAGATGTAACAAATTTTGCACAAAAATGCAAACTATTTCCCAAATTTGCAGAAGTATCGATGGACTTTTTCAACGACTGCCAACATTAACGGAGAGGGAGGTTCTGATCTTCATATTAATTTACTTAGGATTTGACTTATTAACTTTCCTAATGTGGGGTCCAGACGAGGAAACTCCAAAACCCTTTTGAAATTTCTATTTGTGATTCCCATTGCACGCATCCTGTTGGGGGAAATACTCGGAAAGCAGGTCAATGAACTGATCCAAAGGGCAAAATTCATCACACGCTGGAAGTTTGATCGGTCTGGGTTGCGTTGAAGTGTAATCTTCGTAATAAATCTGGAACCATTTTGTGATTATTTTGTCTATTTTCCACCCCCGTACCTTAAATCCCGGAACCCGGTTAACGACATGAAGCTCAAACGAAATATAGGAACCATAGGGGGGAATTTGGGGTTGAAAAACGTCCAAAGTGTGCAACATGTTGGCGAGATTGACCTCATGTCCCGAGTAGAGAAAAATTTTGCGATTTTTGGGCACCAACTCCCCCGAGATTTTTCCCTTCGAATCATCRACAATTTTCTTTAACAAACCCCCCGATGACAACCTCCTCAATTCGCTGGTGGCACTCATGAGTTCGTAGGTTTTGATCGCGAAATCCTTCAGGGGTTGGGGGTAGACGTTTTTCGTCCATTCTGGGAGARGTAACCYAAACTCWTTTTCCGTCGTTAGACACAAATACAGGTGAAAAACGTCGAAATAGTTATTGACCTCAAGTCCAGTATTTTCCGAAATATACTCGAATGTTGTTTTGTGTTTTTTGAACTCCTTTTGCCATTTGGGAGCAGTGACAATCTCRGCGAATTTTCGTTTGAAAGTGGAGCAAGACAAACCGAAGAAAATCTAAAATAAYGTCGGTGAAAAAAATTCGATTACCGTTAATTTATTACAGAATCTTGTCTTCGAGGTAAGACATTGAACGGTATGGGTTGCCAGTTTAAACCAGATTCCCAGATTTGGTCGCCAACTGGTGGAAATAATCCGGTTAAAACCAGCTGAAGTGATGATTTTGTTCGGTTAGTGTCGGAACTTTGAGCTTCCAGGATGTCCGGAGTATAAACATCGCCAAGAAAAGTGCCATAGCGTCCCCGGAGAGCTTTCCCCACTTTATAAGCTTTTTGTTTACCTTTCTGTGTTTAAAAAATTACAATTCAAAATAAGTGAAAAAGTACATACATTTGTTARTTCTCCAAGGCCGTAAGGATAATAAGTTTCATTGATGAGTGGGTCTTTCGGGTAGAGRGTTCTAGCGTCGGTGGTTCTGTCGCCATGGCGAAAAAGCTTCAAATCATKCAATAAATCAATTCCAAATTTAATTTTATACTCACAACGTGGACTAGTTTTAAAGTTGAGTTGRATTCGTTAGAAGACGCAATTTTTGTTATTTGTGTAATTAGAATTGCCAGCAAAAATTTCAGAACTCCCGTGTGATTCTGCATGATTCGTMCTTAAATACTAGAAGAACCTGTTTCAAAGAAAGTCTTGTTGCGAGGTGCGCRTTATAATCGTTTTTTTTAAGAGCTATAATGACAATGCTCATTAATATTTATTAACTTTGATTGTACTGAACCGTTAACAAATTAATTAGCTATATAATAGCTAATTATCTTCTGCACGGTGAAGATTTACTACGTTCTTGAAGAMGAAATATCAATGATGATTTTTTATTAAAATAAAAATATTTTTCTTCATGCTTCAAGAAAATTTTCAATCTCAAGTGATCAGTGACATACTTTATAATCAGGAAATTCACCAAAAATTAACATTAATATACCTACTTTACCTTCAGAAACTTGATTTATAATCTGACAAAAATTTAAATAAATTTCTTCATATTATGTTGATTTCATCAATTTTACAATTTCTAAAAATATTTATGTCCGACTGTACAATAACGTCTGCTTTATGATATAATATTGCGGCTATAAAGTACCTCTTTATAGTACTGGTAAAATAAAGTAACTTTATTTTCAATACTGTCAAAAGTATTTATTTATTTARATTTACGAAATACACTCTACTACTTATTATACAGTTATTMTTGCTACATTTTGTTTTTTGAATTAGACTCAACAAAGCTTAAACTTGGTTTAAATCTGTTAAAAATAATCTGACGTTTCGTATTGAGAAATGCCAAACAGTTGTCAAAAATTAAAATTAATTTTATTAAGTTTCGCAGTAGGACATAAAGCCTTGAATGCAATTCGTACATAATTAGGCTTTTTGTACGCGTCCAACATTAATTCTGTAATTCCAAAATTATTCCTGCAATTCCAAAAAGAATTTCAGTAATTCCATAAAAAATCCAGTAATTTACAAATAATTCCTTTAATGTCAAAAAAAATCCAACAAAATTGGAATAATTCTAATAATTCAGAGTAATTTCATTAATTTTACATTAATTCTTAGAATTATTAATTAAGTACTGTAATTCCAATTAATTTACGTAATTTCAAAATAATTCCCGTAATTCTAAATTAATTACGATATTTCTAAGGTATTCAGCKTAATTTTCAAAAAAAATTGTTTTTGATAATTTCAAAAAGAATTTCAGTGATTCCAAGAGAAAAATCAGTAAATCACAAATAATTTCAGTAATTTCAAACAATCTAAAGATAATTTAATAATTCAAAAACTTCTAAACAAYTCCAAGCAATTTCGATTAGATTCAAAAAATTTGTACAACTTATGATTCAAAAAAAAAAACACTTGGTACCATATTTTTTTTTCGCCTTGTATTTTTTTCTTTGAAACAATGCTAAGCCCAAACTAATTATACCTAATTAACATGTAATTGAAAATCTTATTATATTAGAACTTTTATTAGAAGTTTTACATCAGTCACTCTGTGTTTACCCCTATTTTGGATTTTTTAATGTTTTTGCTAAAAAATTTTGAATAACGTTGATGAAAATCGCTTGAAAATTGCATGCATTTTTATGTATAGGCCTCTCCACAATGATTTGCATATTCTTGGAAGTCGTTTGAGTAATTTCTTCAAGGGTATTTTTTATAAAACAATTTTACATCTTTGTGGTAAATAAAGCATATCAATTGATGCAAAATCTGCTAGAAAAATTCCTTCTAATTATTAAAATACAGCAATTATTAATTATKAATGTTTGAGATAATGATACACCAACGCGTTYTTAACACGTGGAGATAATTAAGTGTTTTCAGTTTTTTACTGACARTAAAATCAAAAACACTTAAACAAAATTTCTATTGAATTTAGTAWTGCAACAAAATATAATTATTATTACAACGACTTGTATGGTCTGAAGGACGTTTAGACATTATTCACTTTTACCCTTTACAGAAATTTAAAAAGGGTTGATTTTTTGAAATTCCAACTATGTAATAATAAAATATTTATTATCATAAATAATATCAGCACGCAATTACTCCAACACTTATTTTWAACAAAGAGTTTTAATTACATATMTCYAGACTGYTATTYYTCAAAAATTATATTGTTATCTAATTAAATAGTTAAATTCTTAGAAATATTGTTACACAATTCYGACATTTCTTAAATAAATACAAGCAGGTGCAGATATTTCTTCTTGTCATTCTCCTGTCTATAATTGAAGGTAAATAAAACAGAATCAAACTTAACCACTAAATAGAAAGGTTCAATGCTTATTAAAAAAAGTGAAATATAGAGACAATAACCAGCAATTTTATTTTACAACAGACATTTTTGTCTATTATGCACTATGTTTATTTATTCTATATTTTTTAGTACTTAAAAATAAACATTTTACGAATAGGTACTAAAACTCTTCGTTTTATGATACTTCACTTCAGAATAATTACTAG